AATTTGACAACGAAAGGGGAAATTTTCTGACCAAATTAAATCAGAAGAATTTTCATCAACCTTTTACCTAAAAGCTTAAGAAAGACATTCAGCATTTTATTTAATAAATGCACTTGTTAATGGGCTTCATTTTTTGTTTTGCTTTAGGCAGCTAAACATAACGGGCCGGCCTTGAGCGTCGGATAACCATTGGAGTACAACCATCTTCTTCTTCTGTTTATTTGATTGTTAATGTGTAGGATGCATATCTCCTTTTCCAGCAGTCACATATGCCCCTCGGATCGCTTCAATACCAATAGACGACCATTTTTTACACTGAGTTGCTGCCACATTAACCACCCAGAACCATCCGGATATATATACCTTGTTTATTTAAAAACCCATATATACCAATATGAAATAACATAAATTAACAAAAAAAATAACTTACTTTAAAATTCATGTAAATGCTCGATATCGATTTTTTTTTTTTTTTTGGAAAAGCATAATTCAATAAATCTTCCTAAAGCTAATAACCAAGGGTATGGCGATGAATGAGAAGTAGTTGGTTATGATAAAAGCATATATACTAGATATTCATATGTATTGATCTTTTTCGTTTGTTGTATGTATTTGACATTGAATTTGACTTTGAGAATTTTTATTACCATTTTATTTTCCTGCACATCATGTTTCTGAATTTCAAACGAGATTAAAAATGAACAACTTTTTCCTTGTCACATTCTTGTTCTTGTACCATTCTTTTCCGCATTGTTTATCCTTACTTTTTGGCATATTTTTTTTTGTCTTTCATTAGATCAAAGCGATAAGAAACTAGTATGGTGAAACTGTAAAATTTACATTTCACCAACAACGATATACATTATAGAAAGAAGAAGAAAAGGAAAACAAAATCTAAATAATTAGGTGATAGGATGAATGCTGGGAGAATTTTCACCACGGCGACAATTTCGACAACGTCGACAAATTCCTACAATAGAAAAGACGAAGAAAACGAAAAGCATCATCACAGGAACCATCCATGCCTTGAACCATGGAGGATCTTTTGGGAAGATCAATGCAGCTTCTTCTTCTTCTTTAAGTTGGTGTCGTGTCAAAGATTTGATATGTATTATATTGATGTTCATAAACAACCACCAAATTTTTCTTCTCATCTCCTGAGTTTCCTTCTCTAGGAGATGAGAAGAATGACAAGACAGTGAAAATTTGTTATTCCCAAAACATTTGTTTAATGATATCTTGTGTTTTGTTTAAAGGTTTATTTTTAGTGTTTTTGCTATATTTTCTCTAGATTTCTTGGAACATTTGCTATTTTTGGATAGTTTGGATACTTGATCATGGTCTGAAACATAAAATAGAATAGCCAAGCAATTAGCTCTTGTAATGTCTTCATCTTTCTAGATCTTTTCCGTCATAAACTTATGCATTTAAATTTTCACGTAACTAAAAAAAAGGCAAGTAAATGTGTGGGCATGCCTAAATTTCATTAGTAAGCAAAGTTAGAAGAGTTAGGGAGAGAGACATTCTAGGCTTTTGTTTACTTTAGGGTAATATCATTACCGAGTTCTTTAATGACAACATAAAAAAATAACAATGTTATTGCCCATCTACAACATGTATAAGAGGTACTCGAGGTTTTGAGAGACAATCAGTTCAAAGTAAACAAAAATGTGTTAGTTTGGACGCACCTCTATGGAGTGTCTTGGTCACGGTTTTTCAGGACGGAATAGCAATGGATCTAGTAAAATATTCATTGTTCTTACTTGGCCATAACAAAAAAAAATTGTGAGGAGTTCGAAGATTTTTGGGGTTAACATGTTACTAAAATTGTTTAATCAAGGATTATGGTCAGATGGCCCGCCTTTTAATAGTCGTCAACAAAGATATATATGGTCTCCGAGTTTACTTGGACTTTGGGCGCAACAGCATATGATCTACTCATTATAGCAATCACATATTCACCGATATTAACTGTAGCGACCCTTAACCGTTCTAGAAATCCAGACGGTCCGGAATCGCCACGGTTTGATACTCGTAGACAGTCCAACCGAGGCTGTTAGAACAAATCCAGCTACTCTAGTTGGTCCATCCGCGAGTATGTCCTCTCGACCACGGCCTAAAGCTTTGCAATCCGTACCGCGATCGTGAGTTGTGTCGGTTCGAACAGAACCTAATATCAAGAAGCACACAAGGCTTTAAGAAAAACTCATCTTTATTAAATAATAAAATCTCAAATACAAATAAAGTTTACGGCGCCAAGCGTGAAACTCAAAACAAATAAACTACACTACAAAACCAACTTTACAAAGGCAATAAAATCTACACTGGGTTCCTAGCGTCCATGCTCCCTCTAAAGCTTTTCCCACTAAGGTTACCTGCAACAAAATAGTAGCAACATGAGTACTAATTACTCAGTTAGTTCGGCGCCTAATCTCGGAAATTAAACACCCCAAAGTCCCCAACAGAAAATAAATCAACAAGCAACAAGCAAACAAGCAAAATCATTGACGGAACAATAGTAAACAATCAATCTAACATGCAACCTAACAAACAAGCAATAATAACAAACAACAACACAACGATACATTAACAATTCCTATGGCCATGTGAACGATCTTTCCCATCAAACAAGTGAACAATCCGTTTACAGCCACGAAGTCTATAAACGATGTACCACATGGGTCTTCCACGACGGGCAATCCCCGTTACCTCGTCAGGTAACTGTTCGGTCCTTGGGAGCGACCCAGTCTCTCCGAACCCCAAAACAAACAGGGAAGCGCACTCGAACACCACAAAACTCTAAACAACAACCACACAAACAACGAGAGCCAAACAAAACAACAACAACAACAACAAACAAGCAAGCAATCAAGAAGAGAAAGTTCGTGTGCCACCACACACGCTTCGGAACTCACAGATCATAGATCACGGCTAACGGCTAGATCTCTCGGCTATCTCCGCTTCTCTCAGAATTCTTTCCTTCACGGCAATTCTTCTCGGAAACGGCAGAAAAACGGGAAAACGGCACTCCAGCACTCCGTCAAAGCTTCTTCACCTTCGGGATCTCCTTCTCTTCCTAAAAATGAAGAACCCAAGGCCTCTATTTATAGGCACGGAGCTCTCACGCATGCGAAACAAGTGGCGGACGTCCCACGACACATGGCGGAGACGTCGCAACACACGGCGGACATGCGCCCGCATGGCTGACACTCGGCGACCATGCATTCGCTCCGACACACGGCAAACATGCGTTCGCATGGCCGACACACGGCGATCATGCACCTGCATGCTTGACACATCGCCGTACACATTACGGTGTTGATCCGTCGGATCCGGTCCGCTTTACGGAAGATACACCGAATCTAAAGATACACCAAATCTAGTCTAGATTTACGAAATCTAGAAATATTTACCAAATTTTCGAGGTCACATCAAAATCTCCAAAACACATCAAATCTTCCTTTTTCTTTAAAATGTGGGATTTGCTCCCCAAACTCCCAACTACAGAATCTCTACTTTTCCATAAAATCCAAGATATGCTCCTCATAATCTCAACATGATTTTATGGCTAGATTTCCGCAATGTGGTTCACCCGCAACCACTAAAAATTCTCCGATCTCACCAACGTGCTCACGGTACGTTACCGCACATTCGGAATCGTAAATAATCGACCCGCTCGCTTGATCCAAAACTTGATATTTTGACCGTAAACAACTTTTTCTCCGATCAAAAATCTCTGAATAACCCCCGAGTTATTTCAACAAAATAGCACCAAAAATAATCTGACAAAAATTCGCGTACCGCGGTCGTACCTATAGTAAACGACCGGGTTATTACAATAATACTACCGAATTTCTCCTAGAAGATTGATATTAAATGTGATACATGGCAACAAATTGGGGAAATTTTTATACCAGACTAAATAGCTAGTTGCATACATGACAAGGTATTTATTTGTTGGTTGCATTCTCTCAAACTCTTCATATGAAAAAGGATTGATAATATTTAGCATTTAGCATTGTAGATAATATTTGGGGGTTTATCACCTAGTTGTTCGAACTGGTCACTTGGCTTACACCATCTTCTTGAGCAACACATGATCATACCATCTAAGGAGAATTGGGTTTCCATAATTTTGAGTTGCGATTTTGAAATTTAATTCAAATTCGAGACACAAACAAATCAACTTATCATTTATCCAGGTGGGATAAGGAACATTAATTGTCAACGTTATTTCTTAATTGAACGGACATAACTTAGCACATTCATTAAAGCGGATCTAGGGATAAAATTGATTATAAGTAGAGGTCGATAGCTCGACTGGAAAGAACCCTGAAAATTTTTAAGAGGTCACGAGATCGAGTGACAGCTGGTATGGCTATAAATATTAAAGGCTGGTCCGGGCCTAAGGAGATATATAGGTTTCGGCCCAAAACTTCCTAGTTAAAAAAGAAATTCGAAAAAATAAGAAAAACAAACCTTCATACTAACTTATTAACAGTAACCTCTTTAACAAATGGCGTATAATGATACTAGCAACCTCGACGTCAACGGTTTTAAAACAAGACTAGAAATCGGGCCAGACATGCGTTTGATCAACAGTTCAATATCATCCAATCGAGTCGAATTTGTTTCACAAACTTTTTTTATCATTACTATTACTTACATTGTTTTTTGCTTTGTTTTGTTTATTTGAATGTAAAATTATATTTACCAAAAAAACGTTTTACAATTAATGCAACATGAAAACTAAAATTTCAAAGTTTAGATGTTGGAGACTGATTGAACGGTTGGAGAATCCTTTCAAATGTGTTAAACCCTAGTGTCCCAACCAATCTTAACCACTCTTTTCAATGCTGCAAATTTTATCCCTAGTGGAAGACCTCTCGAAAATGTCAAGATCAACCGAAAGATGATTACACCGAAAATTTAACCCTAATACAAATGCTAATTATTATGGTTTCATAATTTCATTTATAAAATACACATAGATAATAACCAATAGTACCAATCTTTTATTTCACAAAGAGATACCAACGAAACCATTGATAGGAGATTTGAACAGAAACAATAACAAATACTGTAACAAAAATAAAGAAGACAAATATCATATAAACTAAACAGAAGCAGACAAGCTTGGGACAAAAGAGAACCAACGAAACCCACAACTCCATTTCTCCGGCAACGAAGGACACTTAGGAACCCAATGCCATGTCCTCCTCCCAACATGAAAAAAGAGAATCTCAGGCCAATTGTAACAACACACACAAATCATCTCCTTATGCCACAAACAATACACATGTTCGTAGTTATGGTAACAAACCGAAGTAAACTTCTTACAAACAATGTCCGGTAATGTTTCAGTTTCGATCCAACTCTCTGTTTCTTCTTTAAATTCCCAAATCTTGATACTCCTACAAATCCCATTGCTTCCAATTCCTCCAACCATGTAAAGTATATTCTTTTCTGGATCACTTACTAATCTAGCAAACGTGATCTCATCAACCGCCGGAAAAACACCGTCTCCAGTGGCTGTGTTCCATTTTCCGTCGTTGAGATCAACGCTCACGATTAGAAAAGGCTCGGATCTAGCGAAATAGAGAGACCCATTGTAAAAGACTCCATCTTGATTAAACCCACGAGGTAAAACTTGATCAACACCGCCGAATTTTCTCCATGAGCGGTCACCGGAATCGTAGAGACAAACTGATCTTGAAGAAGCGGCGGAGGAAGATGAGCAAAGAGTGAAGATTTTGTAACCGTCAGGGGATGTAACAAGAGAGAGAAGCTCAAAGTGAAAAGGGTAACACGGTAATTTGATAGATCTTGAGGATCTTGTTAAGGGATTGAAGATTGAGAGAGAAGAAACAGAGGAAGGAGAGATGGAGAAACAGAGGAGGCCGTTGGAGGAAGAGAGGAGAGAAGAGGCGTTTGTTAGTGAGAGGGAGCGAGGGAGAGGTAACGTGCACCAGGAGATGAGATTAGGGTTAAAGAGAGGGAAGGAGTTGAAAGATTGAGGATGAGAGAGGAGGAGGAAAGAAGGAAGAGAGAAAGAATGGTCGGAGATGAAAGATGGAGAGAGGATTAGAGATCGGAGATGGCGTGAGATTGATCGGAGAGTGAGGAGAGTTTTGAATGGGAGGAGAGAGAGGATGTGTTCGAGGAGGTGATTTGGTAAGTTAGACCAGATGGTTGGATCCATGTTGGTCGGAGAAGATAGGGTTGTGGGGGAAGATTCTGGTGACCAGTAGAGGAAAGTGGAGGCGGTGGTGGTGGTGGAGGTGGTGATGGTGATGGGTTTTTTGCCGTGAGCTCTGAGGCGGAACATGGTGGTGAGAGTTTGGAGTAAGAGAAGATTGAATCAAATTTTAGTTGCTTTACTTGAAGAAGACGAGAGAAGAAGAAGAGAAGAGAAGAAGAAGACTCTACGTTTGCGTCTAGACCGGTTCACATTTGGGATGTGGACAAAATAATAAGTAAACCGGTCCCTTATTTATATTATAAAAAGGTTTTCATTTTTATTTTCTAAATATCACATTCGCTTTTTCTTGGTCAAACACAGAATTAAATTTTCTTTTTTTATAACAGTGACATTTCTTTTTGAAAGAAAAATCAAATCGAAATTAATTCGAAACCAGAATTAGTGTAAAATCAAATTAAACCGGATAAATCAAAACAAATTTTTATAAGTTTCAGTTTTAATAAATACTTTAATAATTTTGTGTCAAAATGAGTTAGTTATATATTTACAATGACAAAGAATATAATATAATTGAACGAAAATCCTAGCTTGGTTATGCATTTCTTAAAAGCTTACTGAATGGTACAACCACCAAAAACTTTGGATAATATGTGTTTTATATGTATTAAAACAAATAAACTGTTTATTCATAAAAAAAAAATTATATCTAAAATCAAATCAGACAAAAGTAGGCATGGGCATTCGGATTTTGGATCAGTTCGGTTCGAATAATTTGGATAGAGAAATTCATTATCCGTTGGGATTTTGCGACTATTCAGTTCAGTTTCGAAAACAGATTTTTCGGATCGGTTTTTGAATTTTGGAGTTTATGTCTCGGCCTGGACAAAACCTTGAGTTATGTATTATTTGAAACCGAATAAACAAAACTGAAAACTTAAATGACGACGGTGCTCAAATTCACGTATTGGGCAGTACAACTACCAAACCAAGTGGTAGTTGACTTATTCCCAAGTATCATAAAATCAAGTGGGCGAATATTATACAATTACACATATATATGCACATTTGATTTATAGTTAGTTATCAAATAATCAAAGTCAGATCATCAACGTCGTCGGACGACCAACACCTAATTAATTATTGAGACAAATGAATAGTAGTTGATTACGAAGATGAGATTAATCTTAGTACCACTTTTTGACTTTAGGATTTAATATGGTTCTATCTTTTACAAAAGTTCTATTTCGATTGGTAATGATGTAACAGTCATAATAAATGAGTAGGACCCGTGGGATAAGATCTTACCCGCTCGTCTACTCTCATGTTGGCACCGACGCTACGCATGTTTATTATAACCCTGGTTCAAAAAATTTCCTCAGAATTGCGATTACTTCCCGCTTTAATCTCTAGGTCCTTCTATCCACCTCGATTAATGAGTCTTTAAAAAAATCAGTCATCCGATTACTCTCCGTCTAATTTTACATATCCCGATTATTTTTAGATTGCAAGTATAAAACAATTTTTTTTGTTATTCAAACATTTGAATTGGGAGTTTATGATGTTTTAAATAACTTTATGTTCAAATTTTAATAAAAATCAGAAAATCTTTAATAGAAAAAATTGTCTTAAAAATACTTTTTTATGTGTTTAGTGCAATTTTGAAAACAATAATGGACTATTATGTCTTTAAAATTTTAAATTAACCCTAAAACTAATCTCCGATTAATCTCTGATTTTAATTGATTTTCTGATTAATCGCTAGAGTCCCTACCGAACGTCCGACTAGCGCCTAGCGATTTTGCGAACAAGGATTATAACTCACTCAGATCCAAAACAAGTTTTTTTTTTCTTTTTGTGTTTTTTGATAATTTTGGATTATTTCAAATCAACATCGAATTGGCGGTACTTGATTAGGACATAATCAAATAAACTTGAATCGTCTGACTAGTATTTAAGATTTTCGGCCGAAATCAAATCATATCCGATATAACACAGTCTGTCTCTACCCTTGTTTTCCAACATAAATGTAAGTTCCTAATGGAAATTGAGGGAAAACAAGTTTACATTTTGTTCCATGCCCAACTACCACTAGACTATAAACATGTTCGGCTATTTTTATTTTTAGGTCATGTGAGATCATGGTTATTTAAAGCTTTCGTTTTCTTCATTTTTCAATAGCTTTTGAAAATGTATAAACACACAGATTCCTCTAAACTTTGTGAAATATTCGTATGCGTATACCGGATACCGTTGGAAAAGAAGCAGGGTCTCAAATGTGCCAATATCGACCTAGCTATATACAACATGAACCACATGCAAGTACGATAGTCTTTCTATAAGAGACCACATGAGTTTACACGTGGGTTATATACTTATAATAATACTTTAAAGTAATATTTCTTTGAAATACGTGTGTAAAACGGTCCATCACATATTGTCTCTATGCAAGGTGCATTAGCTCCTTCCGTTTGGTAGAATCTTGAACTCACAACTGATGCAGTCTCTCTTTTGTGTATCGTAGGTGTCCACGTATTACAATATGATTGACATATACAAAATTATCCTAAGGGTGTGACTGGTAGGTGTTTTTAGAAGAAAAGAAAAATGTATAAATTTTATTCTTCTGAATTCATCTGTGTTTTCACCAGTCAGGAAAAAATAAGAAGAATTACTTTTCTACTGAAAAGTGAAAAAGCAGAGTAAAGTAGAAGATTTTATCCCTCTACAAAATAGCTAAAGTAACGTTTTCTTCTGAAGTGCCATTTTCTTCTCTCTTCATTTCTTCTTTAAAATTCTACTCATTTCTTCTATAGTTTTCACCAGTCAGACCCTAATATTATTTTCTTGTCAATTAGGTAGGATGAACGTGCGGTTTTTCGGTTTGGTTTGATTTGTCTTTTTCGGTTTTATCGTTTTTTGGTTTTACAAAAACTAAAAACATATAGAAACCGTATATAATTCGATTTGGTTACGATTCGGTTTTTACAGTTTTACGGTTGTTTGACTTTAAGAAAATTGAAACCATATGAAAATCATATGTATCTCGGTTCATTTCGGTTTCGGTTTGGTTCCGATTTTTTAGGTTATTCCATATTTTTACAAAATAAATAAATATAAGTTTAATACATAAATAAAAGTAAATATAGAATAAAAATAATATATCAATAATTATAAATTACTAAGAAGTTAATAATTATAAGCCCATTAAAGAAATTTTTTAATTATACTATTATTTTTTTTTTTTTTTTTTTTTTTTCGGCAAATCAAATATATTATATCATAAAAAGTTTTACATGATACATGAACCATTCATTTACAACCATTGACACAAATAGAAGAAATTGAAACACAATTTCGGTGAAGGAGTGGAAGTGACCCTGCTGCCGATCGGAAGCCTTACGGGCTAACAGATAAAATCTGTTAAGTCCCCCCTTCACATACTCGTAATTGGCTATCATCTTATAGATGAAACTCCAAAATGCTTTTCGCATTACTTTGTTTAAAAGAAAAAACTGAAGTGTTGCGTGTAATGATTCTACGTCTTGCCTTTTGAAACTCAATACGATATACGGGAAACTTTGAAGATCATGCCGAAACCGCCTACCAAATCCAATATTCTCAATGAATCCCATTCCGAAGGTCGTTGATACTTTCCATATCCACCAGGTCCGATCCAAATCAGTCAAGTTGTGTTGCCGAAAGTTGCCCACATCCACATGTAAACGAGAGGAAACAGAATATCTATGGTCAACCTGATGCATCCATAACTCAATCCAACTGTCTGTTTTAATGGACTTAGATTCCATCCAAAAAAATTGGCTATCCATAATCCGACTATTGTCAAAACTAAGCATCCATGATTCCTTTCCACAAACGATAAAGTCGCAATTATATTTCTCTGGATCCCAAATCCAAAATTGCTCTCCCTTTCTCAAATTTGATAGAAAAGTTAACCAATCATATGAACCAATTGGTGTAAGTCTTGGTGTCGACACCATAACCGTCGAGAAGAATAATAGGCGGTTGTTAGTGATACAATATGTCTGAAAATTAATCACACCATCTTCTAATTCGAAGCTTAATGTGCCCGGATCCCAGATTTGAGACTGAAGTTTGCATCTCGATTTGGAAAAATTGATGACAAATTTGACCATTCTACGATGGTGGTGAAATACGGTTGCTTTCGCAAACGAAAAGAAGCCGCTTGGATAGATCCTCAGCGGAAAGACACCGACGCTACTCCGGAATCCTTGTCGGGTTATGGTCGGAAAAAAACTCTCACAAAAGAAGAGAAAGGCGGTGAAAGATTGGAGGACGAACACCATCACAATTGTTTTGGGATTCATTGTTGAGTGTTATTAATACCTAAATCTATACAGATATTCAAGTTAGAAGAGAAAAACGATAGGGGCCGACGCCGGAGAAGCCGACGCCGGCCGGAAACGGAGGATGAGCGAAGAGTTGTGTTGGATCGCCTTTGGTATCGCTCGGGAGGGTAACGCAAACAGTTTTTTTTGCTTTATTAATCACAATATAGAGTATAGACTAGATAATTTAATCAGAAACCAAAAAACTATTTGGTTTTACAGTTTTTAGCCAATCAAAATTTAAACCGAAAACTTAACAAAATTGATAACTAAATGAGTTTTTAGGTTAAACCGTAACCAAACCATATCATTTATTTCGGATTTGTTCAATTTTTTGGGTTACAGTTTTTTTGCCCATCCCTAAAATTAGGTATGGGCATTCAAATATTTTTGGGATAGTTTGAATCAAAAATTCAAGGATTTTGTTTTTTTCTTTGGTTTAAATCTCTGTTTTTTGCTAGTTAAAATTGAACAAAATTTCTGTTTGGTTTGCCACGAATAAAAAAATTGATTTTAAGAATTTTTTGTATATTTTAGTATTTTTTATTTTGACAGCATATATTTTAGTAATTAACTCGATAAATTTCAATAATTTTCGGAATTTTGATTTCGTAGAGAAAATGTTGGTATAGTAAAAAAAAAGAACCTATTTTATTGAAACTAATCGGTTTGGAGGTTCCGAACCCAACCAAACCGGTAATCCAATCAAATTTAAATTTTTGCTGACCTATTTTCAAAGGATAAACCGAAGTTAAACCGAATTTACTTAACTTGGTTCGGTTCAATTTTCAAATTATTCTGTTTGTGTTATGGGGAAGATGGCGAAAGAATTGAGTTTTTTTTTTTTGTTGTTTGCAGATTGAAGCAGCACAATGGTGAAATCAGAGGTGGTGCAAAAGCTTCAAGTGCAGGAAGACCATGGCTTTGTGCTTGTATCATCACTGGTTTCACTTGTTTAAGTCAAGGTACTATCTTTCTTCATCTTTAAGAATTGAACATTGCATTGTGAATGTATATATTGTAATGTTGTTTGTTTTTTAGCCGGGATGAAATTTCTCTCAGGAAGTTAGAGAAAGAACCACATGGACGCAATGCTTAACACAAAAGAAATAATTCCGAACAAGAATTCAAATAATAGTTTATGAAATCCGAATGACATAAAACAAAGTTGCAGTAACTCCAACAACAAATATCACAAAATATCAATCAAGCTGTAGATTTTTTGCCTTGGGTCTTGCACATCTTGAAAGGCAAAAACGTCACTCCCCCCATGAAAGGTTGAAGAACCTCAGGGATATCCACACCATCCTCTCGCTGGTAGTTCTCAAGAATGCAGCAAATGGTCCTCTGTGTCGCGGTAAGGGTGGAATTCAGCATATGAACATACTTGTTCTTAGTCTGCTGATCATTGCTCTTTTTATGACCGTATCTGATCCCAAGCCTTCGAGACTGATAGTCTGTACAGTTGGAACAGGACACGAGCTCTCTATAAGTCTCTGACGAAGGAAACCATCCTTCCAAGTCATACTTTTTAGCAGCTGCATTGTTCAAAGCTCCAGAAACAACCGACACCACTCGGTATGGAAGTTTAAGCGATTGGTAAAACTCTTCCGAGTTTTTCAACATCTCCTCAAGCATTTCCCAAGAATCATTAGGACTCGTAATACAAAACTGTTCAACTTTCTCAAACTGATGAACACGGAAAATGCCAAGTGTATCTCTTCCATGAGAACCGGCTTCTTTTCGAAAGCAAGTCGAGTAACCAGCATATCTTATGGGAAGCTCACTAGGGTTGATCCATTCATTTTGATGGTAAGCACAAAGAGGTTGCTCAGCAGTTGCAATAAGGTATTTCTCATCACAATCTCCTTCACCAATCACCTTGTAGAGTTCTTCATCAAATTGCGACAATTGTGCGCACTTTGCCATGACCTCCTTCCTCATTAGAAAATTAGGTTGTATACATGTGAAACCTTTCTTTGTTAAGAAGGTTAATGAATAATTGATAAGAGCTTGGTTAAGAGCAACACCATATCCTTTTAGTAAAAACCCTCTAGCTCCAGATATTTTAGCACCTCTCTTGGTATCTACAATATCGAGAAGCTCCACGAGATCCACATGGGATTTTCGCTTCGCAACCGGCTTTTCACCCCAAACGTTGATCTCTTCATTATAAGCCTCATCGTCACAAATTCGAACCGAGTCATGGATGAGATTTCCTACTGTCAACAATTTGTCTTGCAAAGCAGTAAAAGCTTCACCAACTTGCACACCTTTCTTGGTTGCTTCTTGTTTGATAATCTCTGCTTGCTGAATCTGCTCTGTTGCATCAGCACCAGATCTTTTGAGCTTGGCCACAGAATTGTTTATCTTGTTGAACACTCTTTGGACACAATCATAATCATATTTACGCTGACGCCATAGTTGGTCTAGAATGATTATATCATCAACGACTTGGACGCTGGAGAATTTCCGGCGCTGAGATTCTCGGATGATCTCCGGATTTCTTCGATATAGATCGATATCCAGCATTATCAAGTGCTCGCTCTTAACCGTGAATCAAAGTAGAAACAAAGATCAATCACACTGGCTCTGGCTCACAAGTTATGAATTGATAAGAACTTGAGATGCAAGAAATACGGCGCCTAGGGTTATGTTATTTGTTTTATATAAGCAAAAAAAACTGTGATTATAATTTGTTATAACGCGTTAATGTAATTTCCTTTTTTCTTTAAAGATTTTTTTAATATTCATTTATTGTTGTATTTCCTTTTTTTATTGTTGGTAAAACATATCTCATTATACCGAATCTCCGAGATCTTCTCCAACAATGGTAAACTCACCGAAACTATTCCTTTTGTAAATGAAATTAATAATGGTAACTTCAAGGCTAGAGAATCTGAATTTCATTAAATCAAACTGTATTACATGTTGCCAACAAAAACAGATACATAAACTATGAAAAAACCCTAATTTGCCTCTTAGACAAAACATAAAAGTGAAAACCCCTAATTAGACTTCCGAAACAAGTTAACAAATAAAACATATTTGAAACCCTAATTTAGACTCTGTTTCACTCTGGTTGTTTGTCAACAGGCTTGCGACAGAGAGGGCACGAGTTATTATCTCGAGTCAACCACTGAGTGAGACATGGTTCATGAAAACTATGCGAACAAGTTGGCATCTCGCAGTAATCCTCGGATCTCGACAAATTCTCCAAACAGATGGCACAAGTCTTCGATTCTTCTTCTTCTTGGCTCTGTTGGTCCAAATCTGTTGCCAACGGAGCAGAATTACAAGACACAACGTTGTATACCTTGTGTGTCAATTTGACAGAGACAATCATGAATAAAGGTTGTTGTTGTTGTGGAAAGTAAAAACTTTGACTTCTTTGCCGTTGTTGTGCTTCGACAATCTTATAAGAGATTTGTTCGGACAGGACATGATCGTGGAGTTGGGTATGGAGACGTTGATAGACGTAGTTTGGTTTGAAACTAGGGAGTTTCAGAAAGATTAGTGGGTCGTGGAGAGAAGAATCCGGGTAAGATCCGAGACTCGTGACACTATCATCCTTCTCGTTCATGAGAAATTCCTCGACTTCTCTGACTACACTGATTACTACCGTGCTTGAGAACCCTAACGACCGAGCTTGAGACAAAGCCTTTACATGAACATCGAGTTTGATTGATTCAGTTTCCATTGTCGGAGTGAAATTAGACAAAACTCAGAGACAGCGTGAAAGATGATTAGTCGTAAGAAAGAGATTGAGAAAATTGAAATTGTGGAGAAGTTAAGTGTAATGTTATTTGTTTATATAAACAAAAAAAAACTCTGATTATAATTTGTTTAACGCGTTAATGTAATTTCCTTTTTTTCTTCCATATTTCCATTTTTCCTTTCTTATTTCCTTTTTTACTTTAATTAAAGCATTTTTAACGTTCATTTATTGTTGAATTTCCTTTTTTTTTTCTTGCTAAACCAGAGCTTAAACCAAATCATTTCCGAACCTAACCAAACCGGTAATCCAATCAAGTTCTGCCGATTTTGTTTTTCAAAGATAAACCGAAGTCAAACCGAACTTGGTTCGGTTCAATTTGGTTTTCCAAATCAAATGATTCTGTTCATGTTTATGGGAAGAAGATGAAGATGGCGAGAGAATTGAGATGACGAGGTTGCTCTCTAGGACGTTTCCGTCCGTGAAGCTTCGTGATTGCAACTCTAAAGCTTCGGAATTCAAAAAATTACAAACCCAAGTTCCGATTTCATCATCTTCTTCGCAGCAATCGCTAGATAACTTGAAGATCCCCAAATCCAAATCCTGGTCTGTTTATCTCATTCTCTCCACGACCGAACCCATCAAAACATATGTCGGAATCACCACCGATTTTGCTCGCCGGTTCGTCATCTTCTCTTTGAATCGATTTTAGGTAGATTCTGCTTGGAAAGGCACGAGCTTTTGATTCATAGATCTTAAGGAATCTAAAAAGCAAAGTGCTTGTTGATTGTTTCTGCTTCGAAAAGCATGAAGCTTTTGATTCATAGGTTTTGAGGAATCTATAAAGCAAAGATCTTGTTCATTACCATTTAGGTTTTGCTTCGAAAGGCATGAGCTTTTGATTTATAAAATTCAAGCGAAGTGTTTGTTGTTGTTTGTAGATTGAAGCAGCACAATGGTGAAATCAGAGGTGGTGCAAAAGCTTCAAGTGCAGGAAGACCATGGCTTTGTGCTTGCATTATTACTGGATTCACTTGTTTAAGCCAAGGTACTGTCTTTCATCATCTCTATTGCCTTGTGAATTTATATATGCTTATGGATGGGGATTGATGAGTTTCCATTGTTTCATTCTTCAGCTTCCTCGTTTGAATCGCAATGGAAGATATTTTCAAGAAAGTTACCACGGAGAAAGAAAGGCGAGGAGATTAGTCAGAGTGATGCTTTGCTACAACACCGAAGGAGAGCTTTAGAGAAAGTCGAGGAGTCACTAGAATGTAGTCATCTTGAAACTGACTGGAAAATCTAACCAGGTAACCAACGACTAACTTAATTAATCACTCATGTTCTCTGCAGCCACACAAGTTTACTTATCTATGAATTCTTATGTTGGGACTTGACGACGATAGTGGAAAGAGTAGAACTAGTATTCGGGTTTTACTTGTCATATGGCAATTGTTTGAAAACTACATTGCACAACCTCATGGGCATTGATGTTTGCAGCTGTTGTAACTTTTAAAATTGATAGACAGAAGTCAAAGCAAATGTGCTTAAGATTTTTCTTAGTTATTGTGTCTTCAGTTTATAAATAAAAACAAGTATATACAATCATTTTAAGGTATAAGATTGAGAACTGTGAATTGGTAGTTGAAAATTGGGGTTATGCTAAACACTGTAGAATAATCAGTGTTTATCATTCAATCAGATAGTGATTCAGATCTGGAGGAACTATTTTCATAAAATTGTGGTTATGAAACACGTTCATGTACCCTTTTGTATCATCACTCGTAGTTCGACACCAGTTTTACATCTTTGAGGGCTTGGTTATGTGTTTGGGGTTCATTTTTTGTGAAAAAGGTTGTGGTGGTATGATTGCAATACTTAGGATTGGAATTGAGAATTGGTTTCCTTGAATAGGTAACCATTGTATATGTTGTTCGGTCACTTGCCAGTAAGTGATCTTTTGCGCGTACATTTAATCAAGTTTGTGGAAGTATCATTTAGTCTGATATTGAGTGCTTTTTGAAGTAAGTAACATCTGGGAGTTTTGGGACTCGAGGGTTTAACCATCGTCAAACTGTAACAACCACCCCCACCATTGGTGTGGTATCATCTCACTTAGACACTTAAGTGTTCACTTACACGCCATTGCTTAAGGGAATTCCACAACTCAACATACTCCTTAGGACCTGCAAAACTGGAACATCATAACTCTATACTCAAGGCTCTTATTACTACTCTAAACTCAGCAGAATCAAAAGAAACTAAAGATTTTTTAGTTCAATGTTTATAAACGTCTGATTTGCAATGAATCAAATCTTCAAATCATGTAACGCTTTGTACCTTACGATGTTTTCATGTTGATGGTCATTCCGTTCGTCATCTCCTATGATTAATGGTCATCTCCTATGATTAGTGGTCACTAGTGAATAGTGTAAGTTAATGCTGGAGAGATCGAGAGAATAATAAATAAAAGCTTTAAGATTCTAACAAGAAGTTTTTTAACAGTAACAGAAGAAGTGATGACTTTGTACCATCGAAAAATCAGAAAAAAATCAAAACGTTAAAGCCAATTTTGAGGTGTTTGCAAACAGATAATCCTAAAATCACTGAACCAAGGACCGAGAAGGCTCCTTGCCTTGAACGCCAAAACTCGATCCATGTCAAGGGTTTTCTAAATTCAAACAAAACATTGTCGAACTGTTGGTGGAGGTCCTCGAGAGAGCCATTATTATCGATCACAACATCAGCTTTGCTTCTTTTCGAATCCAACGGCATCTGAGCCATCACTCTATTTCTTGCATCTTCCTCACTCAATCCATCTCTCTCCATTAGTCTCTTAAGTTGTGTTTCTTGACTAACCCACACAACCACAATAGGTTTGGTCCATTTATCCATCTTTACCTCGAACAACAAAGGGATATCGACAACAATCACTTTAGCACCACTCGCCCATTGTTTCAGGATTTCCCAGAAGATACCACTTGATATGTACGGAGCCATCAACCTGTAGCGAGAAAGACACAACAACAATTTCGGGATCTCATACAATGAACAAAAAGGGAGATTCCCAATTCCTTGCTTGTTTAGAAGTTGGCGTTTGGAATCAGATGAGAACACAATCTGACCGAGTTTTGGTCGATCCACTTCTCTACTAGGAAGCAGAATCTCCTCCCCGAAAGCTGCAACTACTCTTTTCCATCCACCGCTTCCTTTCTTTAATACATCCTATATAGCAAAACAACACATTTCCGCAACCATTTACTTAAACTTCTCTTAAGCTAAATTTCATCTAGGAGGAGGACCTCTCTCTTTGCAATGATCACACAAATAGAAAAGAGAGAGATGTTTGTTACTTACTCGAGCAACAACATCAGCGTCAACAACGGGAATGCCATTAGCCTTGAAGAGGTTGGAGACTGTACTCTTCCCAGACGCTATGCCTCCCGTTAGCCCGACTATTCTCATTCTACCTTTTCCCTCTTTCACTCCTCCGGATCACTTATATGTTTGTCTGAGAAACACCTAAACAATTGCTGCGTAATCAAAACCAATAATCAACTAATACAGCCATACATAAATTGATCTGTAACAGCCTCACTTCACGCGGAGGTCGAAGCATTAATTTGGGATCATATACTATAAAAACCATGGATACTTTGAGATCGAAACAAAGAGGCGTAGGAAAAATTGATTTAACGGGCCAGCCCTAAATATTTAGCCCATTTTAACATCCCTAGGTATATGAGATTTATATATGCTCCTGCTTGTATTATAAGAAAATAAGAAAATGGTGCAACCCACGTCCGTGTGAGGCCGGTGGTTTTGTTTATTACCCCTCCAAAACATGAACTCCATTATAACCCCAAATCGAAAACTCCATTCATAATCAACGATCACCATTTTCTACCCAAAAAAAAAACAAAATGGTGTTGGGTCTTAGAACAAAGAGTCGTAGAGACAATGGAGTGTTCGTTGAGTATCTAATCTCAATCAAGGAGCTAAAACCATGGCCAACAAGCCAAGTCCCTGCACAATGCGTTCTTCTCAAATGGGAAAACGGCGAAAACAACTCAGGCTCTTTCATCGCGGTTGTGGGCAAAGACACGATCATGTTCAACGAGTCCTTTAGGCTAACCTTAACGTTAGAACCTAAAGTTGGGTCCGACAATAAGTTCCACAAGAATCTTCTTGAACTTCATGTATATGACGCCAAAAAAAAAGATAAAGGCGTCAAGAACAAGCTTCTTGGTACAGCCTCGGTCAACCTCGCTGATTTCGGCCTGTTGACCAATTCTGTCCCCGTAGGAGCTCCGTTTACTTTCAAGAAAAGCTCGAGGAATGACGCTAGCTCTGAGATTTACCTAACTGTTGAGCCGGCCGGAGAGGAAGATTACGATGAAGGAAATCGGAGTAGCGGTTCGTCGCAGCCGAAGATGAGCTTTTCAAGAAGATCTGTAGATGGCAGTGAGTTTAGTTTGGCGTCGTTGACGGATGACGATGATGATGCTTCGTCAGTGTCTTCTTCTACACGGAGAGTCTCTTTCTCAGCTATGTGTGATGCTAATTCCACGGTACACATTTTCATATTAGTGACGTAACACAATTCGTTTTATTTATTTATTATTTTCTATTTTTTACTCTTTTGTTTAGTGTTTAGAACTGGATTTGAGGTATGCACGTCCAATTCTTGGTTAAGAAAATTCTTTTTTTTTTCTCTATAAAGAAAACATTGTTCGAAATGATTAGCACGTATTCTCTAATAATTTTACTCAATAGTCCAAATATTATCAAAAAATAAATAATATTTTTCTACTCAATATTCTTAAATTCCTCTGTTTTATAGGATAAATAGAAATGTGGGCTTCTTTACTAAATAAAGGGTAAAATTTGGGTTGATGAAAAAAAAAAAAGTAGAACTAATTTTTGTAAAATTTGGATTTAGCAAATATTTGATAATTTGTTTCATGAACATGGGTAATTTTTTACTACCTTTTTTTTATCACTGCTCTTTTAATTATTGAACAAGAATTTATATTTTAGAGTCTATAAAGATTACTGTTGTGTAGAAATTTTTACATGATTGTGATTTGGCTACAAGATCTGTTTCTTAAGAATTTTATGTAAAGAAGTTGAAAATTTGAGTTTCATTTTTGTAAAAGAAGTAAGACTTAAATATTTTGACCCGTTGTATCAAAGCAGAACACAGAGGCAGTGATGAATGGAGATGAGAAGAAAGGTTGGAAACATGTAACACTTAAGCACAGTAACAATGAAGCAGCACTCGTCTCCGAGATCGAGAATCTACTGAGAGAAGAAGAGAGAAAGAGACAGAGCAATCAACCGGTCATTGTGAGCACAGAGATTGATCAGAAACAGAAAGAAGATACAAATACCTTTAAGCTCAAGAAACAGTTTTCTGAGATCAGATCTGGTCCTTTATCGTTACCTCCCGATGCAGCGAAAAAACAGATGAAACTTCGGACAAACACTCTTGCCTTAGGAAGAAAGACTCTAGGAATGGAAGGTATTCCAAGACTTAAACAGCTTAAGTCTATTCAGTTGCATTTTGACGGAAACAAAGATGATAGTAGTCAAAAAAAGGCGAGTGGAGTGATCAACAAGGTAGGTTTAATAACTCCGCAAGATTCTAAAACAGAGACGCTTGAAGATGAGTTGAAGGAAGCAGCGGTTCTTGAAGCAGCTGTTTACTCTGTGGTTGCTGAGCATAGTAGCTCCATGAGCAAGGTTCATGCTCCAGCTCGTCGTCTTGCTAGGTTTTATCTTCATGCTTGTAAAGGAAATGGTTCTGATCAATCTAAGAGAGCCAGTGCGGCTAGAGCCGCGGTTTCTGGATTAATCTTGGTTTCGAAAGCATGTGGAAATGATGTTCCAAGGTATTGTGAAGTTTTGTTTTTATTCCCATCCATAATATATCTACTTTTTGGTTACATCTTGGCATATGTTTATATCAACAGGTTGACCTTTTGGCTATCAAATTCGATTGTGCTTAGAGCAATATTAAGCCGCGGTATGGAGAAAATGAAGATTGTCCCTGAAAAGGCTGGTTCAGATGAATGGGAAGATCCTCGAGCATTCCTTGCGGCTTTGGAGAAGTTCGAGTCCTGGATATTCTCCCGAGTTGTTAAATCTGTTTGGTGGCAGGTAATTGAAAGAATAAATTTTCAAATGTGCTTGTTAAAAGAGTTTTTATCTAACCGGTTTGTTGTGAAATAAATCTCATTGCAGAGTATGACGCCGCATATGCAATCTCCTGCGGTTAAAGGATCAATCTCGAGGAAAGTTTCAGGGAAAAGGCGGTTAGGTCATAGGAACCATGGACTCTATGCTATAGAGCTATGGAAGAATGCCTTTAGAGCTGCCTGCGAAAGACTTTGCCCTCTAAGAGGTTCAAGACAAGAGTGTGGTTGTCTACCTATGCTTGCTAAACTGGTAAGAGATTATTAGCTTTCTGAAAACACTTAGAACAGCTACAATCAGAACTACATTGTGAACTATCTTTTTTATACTTAATTGGCTGCTGAAATCAGGTGATGGAACAGTTAATCAGTAGACTTGATGTAGCAATGTTCAACGCTATACTGCGTGAGTCAGCAGGTGAAATGCCGACAGATCCCGTCTCTGATCCAATCAGTGACATAAATGTTCTCCCCATTCCAGCAGGAAAAGCAAGTTTTGGGGCGGGCGCACAGCTTAAAAACGCGGTACTTAAAGCTCACATGAACAGAGTGTTCTCAACCAAAAAAAAAAATCTTTGATATGTAATTACATTGCCTTTGCAGATTGGAACTTGGTCCAGATGGCTTGAGGATCAATTCGAGCAAAGGGAGGAGAAATCTGGTAGAAACAAAGATGATGATAGCAATAATAAGGAGAAGCCAGAATGTGAACACTTCAGATTGTTCCATTTACTCAACTCGTTAGGTGATCTAATGATGCTTCCATTCAAAATGCTTGCAGACAAATCCACAAGAAAAGAGGTAATTTAGACTTCAAAAATCATGTTTCTTTGTTCCACAAACACTAGGCTAATTTTACTTCCTCTTGTTCCTGTCTAAAGGTTTGTCCAACTCTTGGTCCACCAATAATAAAGAGAGTTCTTCGGAACTTTGTCCCCGATGAGTTCAACCCGCACAGAATCCCGAGAAGGCTATTCGATGTTCTGAATTCCGAGGTTAGAAAAACTTTCTTCATAGTACCAATAATCAGTGTGTTTGTGTGTGCCTTTCTTGACCCTTGTGTCTTCAACTCAGGGCTTAACAGAGGAAGAAAATGGATGCATTACAATCTTCCCTTGCGCAGCATCGCCTACGGTCTACCTAATGCCGTCTACAGATTCCATAAAACGCTTCATTGGAGAGTTGAACAATCCGTCCTTATCTGAAACCGGATCATCGGTATTTAAGAAACAATACACCAGTGACGATGAGCTTGATGACTTAGATACATCCATTAACTCTATATTCTCTGCTCCTGGAACAACCAATTCATCAGAGTGGATGCCGAAAGGATATGGACGAAGAAAGACTGTAAGATATCAGCTTCTTAGGGAAATATGGAAAGAAGATGGATTACAATGACTCTTCTCTTTTTGTCTCCTATGTTTGATGAAAACACTTTCTATGTTTCTTGGTTATTTGTATGAAGGATACTTATGGCCAAAGAGATACAAGTGGGTTTATACGACTAATTAAAAATTGCATTATAATTACAAGAACCAAAAGATTCGACAAAGTAGATGTACAAGAAACTATCCTTAAACTTAAGTGTCTTAGGAATAATGAGCAAATGAGAAGAATACGTTATTCTTTAACATAAAAGGAACTAAAGTTGTTTAATAAACCATAGCTTATGGAACAATATAGCTCAGAAACCTTTGAAATGTACATGGTAACTAATAAGTTGTTCTTTCTAGTTTTTATGATTCACACCATAGTATATTATAAATCACTAAAGAAAAAAAAAGAACTTACTAATTCATTATTGAAGAAAATTAGACAAATAATAACTTATGGATGATGATGATCACATATTCATATGACTTGTATCTTGAGCTTGGATGAAGCTGCGGGGAGCTTCAAGAGATCCTCTGTAAGTTGCTTCTTTTTGGGGTCATCCATTGTAGGTACAACGTAAACTTGTACCACTTCAAGACACTCCATTTTTAGTAAGAAATGTCTAATGTGTTTCAGCTCGCTTGCATATCCTTGATACTTCATGATACGCAACATATTTATTTGGTTATTCCGGGGGATTCGAGTAAACCGATGTCGTCTACATGGGAAACAATCCAGACCCTAAAGCATTGAGATGAGAGACTACTTTAACGTCATGCATCAGTCATATATATAAAGTAAGATTTGTTTAGGTTTTGCTTCATACCGAGAGAACAAGAGTTTTAAGGTTTGGAGAATGTTGTAGGAGACGTGGCAGAAGCAATTTCCAACCTTCTTTTTTACTCGAAAAAACTAAATCAACGAGGTTGTTGAACACCGGTAATTCACCTTTGCACCATACCAAAATCACCTGAAACACAAACAAAGAATGTTTTCCTGTTCCTAACCAAAAAAGATGAGGAGACCATACACACAAGTACTGACCTCGACAGTAGAAGAAGTCAAGTGAAGGGTCTTGACATTGCGTATCCCAGTGATGAGATCAGTCACCTCCGCGCCATTTTTCACATAGCGATTGTCATCATTAAAGAAATAAAGGTCCAACGTAGCTTTGGCAAGTGAATCCCAGCGACATTGTGGAGATTCACAAATATAATCAGAGTAGTAGAAGTCGACAACATTTGGTGTGTCAAATGAAATTATTCTAGAAATAGCAGAAGCAAAACCAAAGCTAAAGGTAACCGAGAGTTTCTTAATAGTTTTGTTGGATACGACGTATGAATTTCCTTGATATACTTTGTAATGTATGGTTAAGTCCTCAAGTGCAGGGCAAGCAGCGAGAAACACATCAAATGATTGATCCTCCGCAAACAAGATTGAATCAAGGAAGAGAATCTTTAGTGCTGGGAGAGATGTATCCGAAGGAAGTCCTTGGCAACGTAGTGTTGTTCCCAATGACAGCTTAACTAGTGTTGTGCTGGTGAAGACTTCAGATGGGAGATCACGCCAACCATACCATGTAGGTTTTATGTCTAGATGAAACTCGGAGACACCGTGTTCCAGGGCATTACATATCCAACGGTTATGTAGTTTTTCTTTATATGTTCTACTAAGTTTAAGTGAGAACTTGTTCATATTGTGACCGCCTTTCAAAGCGAATGCTCTATCGACAAAATCATTGAATCTCTCTTGGACATCTTTTGGAATTTTATTTATTTTCTTCTTTCTCGGTTGACAAAAGATGGAATCATCTAAATCAAGATTAGGACTGAAAGTAAACAGAGTCCTCCACCTTTTGGAGAGAAGAGAGGTTGAAGCAGCTTGTTTCGTGGGAAGGAAGGATAAGATTTGGACAAGAAGATCGTTTGGAAGACAATCCATCGAAGCCGGATTTAACTGCTCAGAAACTTCTTCTCCATGTCCCATATCAAGCTTCGGTTTTGAGTCTTTGTTGTTCATTTTCTGCTAGGTAGTCTCGTATAAGTCGTTTATATGGTGGATGATAATGAAGATCTCACTAGGGGTATTTATTAGCTTGAACATTTATGTGTATGATATGTATATCATTATTTGCTTTTAACCACATGTCCACCGAAATTTTATATATAAATGTAAGGCTAATCATTTTATTATAAATTTAAAGTTAATTTCTATTTTACTATAGTATTAGATAAGAATTTGTGCCATGCAAGGATAAATCTTGTGGTATTAAATATTATAAATAATTTTATTTATAATATTTAATTTATAAATCTTCTGTTATTTAATATTATAAATAATTTTATTTATAATATTTTCAAATGATTCTTTTTTAATATATGTATATATATAGAGAGAGGAATAGAGGATGATTTATATTCAAACTTAAAGTGCCTTTAAACAAATAAAAACATTAAATATATAAAAATTTGACATATTATATATGGTAACAATAGAGAAATTTTAAGAATCTAAATTTGAATATTCTAGATATTAGAATAAAATAACATATGTTTTGTTAGTGGTGTAAAGATGATGAGGATAAAAAATATGTATTTGGAAAATGTGGTAGTAGAATTACTATATAAAAAAATGAAACAACAGCAAAAATTTTTTGTCTCTTTTACTACATTGAGCATAGATCAGAGTCATGGTGACTGGTGATGAAAATTCTGTGAATGAAAGGAACTATTTAAGTAACTGAGAGCATTCACAAGCTATCAAAAGATTCACTAGCAATCAAACTTAGCAAGAACTAAGTTTCGTGTTAAACATTGCTTCTCAAGTCTCAATCTTTGGCTTCTTAAAAAGTCGGCTTTGAGGAACACTTGTTGAAGCAATTTCCATAGCTAGAAGACTAGTGCTTAAGGCAGAAAATGTCACCAATGAAGCTTCTAATAACCTAATGGCCTACAGTGTGAAACAGAATGTTAATAGCCAATGTTATGTGTTGAAATGAAAGAAGAATATTCACAAGCATTTACCTCTTCTTTCCTAATGATGATCACTTGAACCTCAACATCGTCTAACCGGACCTGTTTTTCCTTTAGCAGTCCAATGGTTGAGGTTGAATTTGAAGGTGTAATGATCAAATCATCTGTTACCATAAACTTTGTCCCTCTCTTCATAAATCCACCACTAGATGTTGTTGACTTATCAGTAGTGTTACCATCACCTTCAAATTTTGGATCTATCGAAATCACAGGCACAAGTTTATCCCACTCATAAACAAGTGGCTTATCAGAGTTTTCAGACAAATTGTACTCTCTAAAATGATCCACGTAGAAGGAAACATAAATGTAGTAAGTTGGTGGCTCATGGGGTGTGACAACATCAAGCAGCTGCTTATGACACTTGTAGTAGTGAGGAAGTACACATTTAGCTTCTCTACTAGAAACAATACTTAAATCCTTGAAGCTTCTGCACAAGTTTCCAATGCATCCAAGGATGGTTCCATTGCCAACCATTCTCCATACGGTTTCTAGAGGCATAGCAAGAAAAGTAAAGAGAAGATCAACAAAATCTTCACCACATTCAACAAACAGAATGTTCCCTTCCTTCTTCCTAACATAGGCATTTAGCGTAATCGTTTGATGAGCTTTTGATTCCTCTATATCTTCACAGAGGGCAGGACTCAGCGGTTTGTGAATTCTCTTCATGCCACATGAGCTTTTCTTTTTCAGAAATGTATCGGTCAATGGAGTATCCGATGTGAATAAGCACTCAAACAAAGTCGTTACCTACGAAAATTAAGAGAAAACTGGAATAAGAACATGAAGTTTAAAAGTCTAGTAGAAGAAAAGTTAATACCTCTTCGAAGTTAAAGTTGTGAATCCTCTCAACCAACTTATTACAATCTGTGTAGCCAAGATCTTTAAGAACGTTAAGTGTTAACTCAACAGAGCTAACTTCCACTTTCAAATCATCGGTGATTACGAATGAAGTATGATCACTCCTCACAAATACTCCACCTTCAACACCTTTTCCTATTGTAGCTCCACCTCCTTCTCCTTGAAAATGAATCACTTCATCCATCAAATTCCCACAGCTACATCTCGACGTATTAAAATTGCTATACCATTTACAACATTGCCCGCTTCGCTCAAACATAGGGCACATGAAACACTTTGTAGGCTCAGAATCATCGATCCTCATCTTGAGGTTTCGACATTTCTCCTGATTCAAACTGCCCGGATACAAAAGCATATGCTTACAAGCTTCAGTCCTGAAATGCTTCATGCCCATACTCAAAACACTTGCATAGATATTGTTGAAACAGCCTATTGCTATTGATTGTGACTTCTGATGCATCTCTATCAATCTAACAATCTTTCCCATTGGAAATGTTAAAAAACTAAAGAGTATATCGACAAAATCTTTACCCGCCTCAACGAATACAACCTTGTTTTTCTCTTCATCTATGAGTAGTTTCAGCTTAATCACCGGATTCTTCAAAGTATCTGACATGTCTTGATACAAAATCTGCATTGATACAAAGAAAAAATTCACGTTTTACACAGCCAATATTGCATTGATTACACATGCAGATCATAATTAAAAGCGAACAAAGCGGATTCTGTTCATATATGCTAAAATACACAATGATGTTACCAAAGAACAGAAACGTCAGAAGAACATAGACTAACAAAAACAGAGGAAACTACAAACACAAGAAGATATTTGCGTGAATGAATATTCAACAATTTGAGCTATATTTGCTACAAAAGATTTTACCTTGATAACTTTACTTTGGTTTAAAACTCACAGTGAACCAGACAATCGTTCTCTCTTGTTAGGACTTAAGGTTTATATAATACTTAAGTGGAGGAAGAGGAAGAGTTTAGAGAAGTTGTGGTTAAAGACCATCATTAAAGGTTTTGGGAATGGAAGAGGCAACAGATAACGAAGTAAATCCAAAGGTTAAGAAGAAGTCTAAGTTGTTTAACTATAACCGTTCAAGTTCTCGTAATAATTGAACAAAACATTCAAGAAACAAAGTGGATGTTTCATTGGATTCAATGAATTTGATATTCCCACATAATCACTTTCTTTCTTTCCGAAGTCATCAGCGAATAAACCACTAGACTTGGTCTGAAACCATAAAAGCAAAGAAAGGAACATATACCAAATCCACACAGCAAAGCAGATGATATAAGATGAATGTTTTTTGACATTAGAGTTTGTAGGAAGATAAGCATTAGAGGAGTTATTGACAAATGTATGATCTTGAGAAATATCACACTTTCTTGTTCAAGTTTCTGACTTTACCCATCAGCCTAGTTCACTTCTACTCTAGAAAGCTTATCAGAATGAAGAAACTAGAGAACACTGAAACAGACATTTACCACAAAAGCTTTCATTTTGCTCGGTCACAACCGAGCTTATCGGCTCATAATCAAACAAAGTATAGCATAATACTGAAACAGCGACAACTTCTATAGCCGCGTTCTTTCAGAAGAGCAGAAACACTCAAGTAGTATTCATATAAGAATAGTTTAAAGAACAATACACACCTCAAACATCTCTCACTCTATACACAACCAAAGTTAGAACAATGCAGAGAATTCTAAGCAACACAATAAGATTTATCTCAGTCACAGGACAAAAATCGGGTTTATTTCGGTTAAAAGTTCTTCATGATCAATACATTCTCATTACAATTTTAGCAAAACAAGATTTTGATTTGAGCACAGAGTAAAAATTTGCAATTGAGAACAAAATGAGAAATTTTACGTTATGCTGAATCATCAGTCTTCGCTTTCCCTTTACTAAAGAAATCATCGATACGACGAGTCCCAATTGGCGGCGGAGGAGCCTTCTTGTCTGAAACTGATTTGGTATGTTTGACTGGCTGAGCCGGTAACGGAAGCGAGTCTAAGAGGAAATCACTCGTGGGTTGGTGTCTTTTAACGGCGGTTCTTAAATGATCGAGATTAACAGTTTTACGCTTCTTCTCCACCGTAACAACCGCTGATTTCTCGGCGAGGAAGTGGAGGAAGAGTTCGGTGGAGTAAGTGATGACGTGAAGAGCTTCTGAGTTGATTTTGTTGATGTCTTTGTCGAGTTTCATTATCTTCTTTACCCTTCCGAGAGGAAACTCTGGTCGAGTTGATGTTTCTTCTTCCGCCATTGATTTTGTTGGAGAAAGTCTCATAAAGGTAATGAATTGTATATGTTCGACATTTTTAGGGTTTTTGAGTTTTACGCGCTCTGTCACGGCGGAAAAATGAAAATGAGCGCGAACCGAACCGAATTTTTTTGCTAATTCGGTTTAGATTCGGTTTTCAAGTTTAAACCGATAGGCAAGATTGAGAAAAACGTGTAACTGACTGGTTTGGTTAGTAGATTTTATGTTGTAGAGATTGTTTAGATATGAGTCACTTTCTAGCTCAAATTAGTAGAGTCTATTTTAAAGTTTGATCCTTAGTTTTATTCATTACTTTCTTTGAGTAATATGATTCATTAAGTTGAAAGTTTTAACCGGTTCTTTCGTTTACTGGCCATTCGCCGAGAGGAGTCAATGTGCAATAATAATATGACAAACAATCGAGATTTTACTTGCATTGTAATAGGGTTTTATTGCACAACTTAATAGTGATGCTAGAAAGATACAAGTTGGTATAAATCTCCTAGCTACCTGAACTGAACACCATTCATCCCACGGGCTATAAGTTTCACCCGCCTATGCCAATTTCTTACCATTTTGGAAAGTCGGCCTTCATCCTTCACGATCGCAACGGATTAAAGGAGTGGCATATCGAACTCGAATTGCCCTCAAATAACAAATGAGCTTTAGAGATAGTTCAAAGTGTGGTTAATGATATGAGATTTATACTCTTATATGGAAGTCTTTCTTGGCTCTAATCTTGAAAGACCATCTATCGCAGTTCGATGGCATATACAAAAACTAAATATCGTTCAACCTTTCCTAATCATTGAATTATAAACGGACTAACTAAAGCTGTTTCAACAATGTCGTTTTATACCTTTTTAATCATACCGTAACAACCTTAACTAATCCGTTTTCCCTTTCTCATTGTGGCTTTTCAGAAACAGAACCAATGTCCAATTTTAAAACGGACCATCACAAGATTCACACACAACACTCCTTCCTTTATAACGTTTTGAGGTTCTTGTATCTTCCTACCATTGGCTCAAGAGGCTGTTGAAATATCCCATGGCCACAGATTGAGTACTAGACATGAACCAAACACATCCAACAAAGTCTATATACTGAACCATCCACAACAATACCCTAAACTATTATACAAAGGAAGCTTTGAATCTTTGGATCAAACTCATCATCTTAATCCTAAAGATTTGAGCCACCATTAATGACATATTCGAGAATTTTGACTATGAACAGTAACAACCGAACACAATCACAAGAAGCTTATGAATCTGTTCTCATCTATGTGTATATATATAATCAACTTACAAGACAGAGAATAAGAGAGTTCAAGAGAGAAGAATCGTTTACAAAGTATACAAATTTCTTGAGAATCAATAAGGACGATTCGGTGGTTGAACCGTAATCTGAGCCGGTAAAGGTCTACCGGTTCCAGAACCACCACAATTGCTACAAGACGCACGACCTGAACCAGAACACCTACGACATCCAACGTCACCATCAGACCAACGAGAACAGAAACACGTGACTCGTCCCGTACCATTACAAGTCGGACAACGAGGGAATTGACCAGCCATAGGCTTTTGGTCCAAGACCGATTTGATAAAAACCGCACCGGCTAAAACGCTAAGACCTGTGGCTAACTGGGTTATGACGATCGGACTCATTGTGGTTTCGAGAAGAGAGAGAGGGTTGGTTTGGTTGCCAATTTTGGGGATAACGCAAAAGTAGAATCGTGAAGAAATTGAAGAAGAGAGACGTCTCGAGGAAAAGAAAAAAGATTTTTATTTTTTTTGGTGTGTTCAGACAAAAGTGTGGTCTTGTTTTAATTTGATACGGTTCGGTTTATTTTTGAAGTAAATACAATTTTGGAGATAAGGGAATGGTTGAGAAAGTAAACACGTGGGCTAGTGAGAGTTAAGTTGTTGTGTGAGGAGATGAATAAGCCAGCCGTGAGTTTTTGGATTTGGGTTTTCATTGGGCCGTGTGGGTAAAAATATCTTCTACAATCTTCAACTTTTCTTTTCTTTTAGATTATCACTTATTTATCTGGGTTTTATATGTTTAAATTATGGTATATATAATAAATATAAAATTTTCCAAAATAAATATAAATAAATGAGAAAAAAATTATACTAGCAGAAAGATTGGAATATGAAACAATAAAGAGAGAGATATGGATGATTTTGTATTAAAAGTTTTTGTTTGAATGTTGTAAGTGTAAATCGAGATAGAAAAGATAGGTTATTGTGTTCGATGAATAACATTGAGCTCCACATAAATTATATTTTATATGTAATATTTAACTTGTAAAGCATTTTTTTTTTACTTTGTAATACGATCCTTTCTCTGACTTTCGCAAGTCGCAACATAGTAAGTTTTTTGTGAGAAGTTTTTTTTACAAATTCACTACGAATTAGTTAATTAGGCCAAAGTCCAAACTATGTTACGAATAAGTTAATAAGGAAATGACTTAGTTTGAAGTGATAATTGAACTTATATGCACTAAAATTAGAGGAATGCAATTCTTTTTTTTTTTTTTTTATGGTCTACCATTCTAGTCCAACTATTATTGTACTACATCTTGCAAGGGTTGCAATTGTAACCTCCTTTTCTTTTTGGGTTAATTTTGTTTCTTTCACGTTTGTACCAACGCGATGCCCTCTTCTCCACGAACAAATCACGCGTCGAACGCAGCCATAAACGTGTCCAATGATGTACGAAGAAACTATTATCTCAACAACACGTGCTTACTTCCATTATTGGGCTTTTCACATTGGGCGTGGCCCATTTATGAAGATTCTAAGCTATTGCAGTATTGCTGCATCATTTTGAAGTTTTTATTATTATATTGTGTTGTGTGTTTGTGTGTGATAAATCATATAAAGTAGTAGATTAATCTAATCTAGTGTCCCACTGTCTTAGATTGTGCTTATTGTTCCCTAATTCTATGGCATCTTAAATTTATTGGTAATTGCCTTAATTGAAATGTCTAAGTCGTGATCCATATATATATATTTTGACATCTTTGGATCGACAAGGCCCGATCCATAGCCAATCCCTACTACGCGGGGTAACGCGACTTAGTGGAGTCGAATTCCGGTGGAGAAGACGGAGTCAAGTGGACTTAACCACCTGACTAAAGGCACATCCCCACCATATATCTTTAACATCTTGAATTATTGCATTTGACATCTTTAGCTTAATGTAGTTAGTTTTATTTTGCTTTGCTTGTTTCTTCATGCTTAATAGCTATGATTTGTTTACTTTCTGAATATAATTCATTTGGATTTGTGTCTTGAAACCAAAAATCATCATCATCATAGCTTAGATCGTTTTATCATTACCAAACGAAAAATACTTCTAATTCTAATCATATCCCAATATGTATAATCTTGCTATAAATTCTTATCATATACTCCCTTAACATGCTATATATATATACTGTGCGTTTCATCAAGATTTATAATCCTAATGTATAACACGACAAGATGATTTTAAGACAATTGTCAAAGCTCTCTAACCCATGGAAATATTTGGACAAAAAAGAAGAGAGGATTTGGTGTCTTGCAAGTTTCACAGCTCCTATCTTAACTTAACACTAGCTTGCCTGATCCTTAACATAAAATATCTTATTAGGATTTAAAAAGGCATACACTTTCAGTTATAAAACTGGTTCAAGCTGAAGCAGTTTTCATTAAACTGGCCTACCCCGTTTCTATGCAGCGCGGTCGGGCCTTCAACTGCGGGTGGATCCGGCTGCCAATAGCCGGACACTGAATTGAGTTGAGTCGCAGAACGGTTAGCCACAGGTTGGAGGTTGCTTGTGGGATGGTGATCAAGGGTAAAACGTCTTGGTTGATCAGAGGAAACCCATGTTGTTGAATTTGACAGAAGAGAGAGAGCACCATCAAGATCTTGAGAAGTACTCATGTGTGAAGAGATTGTGACCTTTTCTGAAAATCCGCATAACACAAAGCATCATCAAGATTATGAGTACAAACAGATGACCGTTTATTTGAAACTCAAGAGAATACAAACCTTTACTGAATAACTCGGCTCTTGCGGTTTTGGTTTTGGGGTCCAACAATCCAAATCTACTGTGCTCGGTGAACAGCTTATTGGGAGTCTCGGTCTTTGCAGGTTGCGGCATTAACCCTCTTGATGGTACGGGCTTTGAACTTGGCCATAGAAACTTTTCCTCACTTCTTGGATGGATAAGAGCAAATCTGTTCCATACAAAATCCACCTGTGGTTTCCCATCTGCATACATAGAAAGAAAAAAGCATCTCCAATTCTCCATCAATGAGATTGTTGTGAGCCCCAAACTACATGAAATGATATTTATCTAGAAAAAAGAAAATAACTGATGCTATAACTGAATTATAGCCAATTTCAGAGTGCATGTAAGAATAAGAGACAAGTGATTGTTGTATATACCATATGTCCTCCCAGGATTTGGCTTGCGACGTCTTGCATTGTGATCTGAGAGACGCCGGCGACAGCTACGTTTCTTCTCATCAAACTCAGAGAGACAGTGAAACCTTTGGAGACCAAAAAACCACAAAAGTTATGATTTCATTAAGGCTTTTGCTAACTGATTAAACCACTTTCTCTCTTGAAAAAGACTAGCTTTTACCTGCTACATTGTTGGCAAAACCGACGCTCTACGCCACTCACAACGACTTTAGGAAACTTTGAATGGTTTTCACAAATCCTGTGTTTCCGATGATAGTCTTTAGCTGATGAGAGATCGAGATTACACCCTTCAACTTGACAGTGAGGAGTTTGTAACCTTTGAGGAATGGATTTCGATTTCTTCACCGGAGAAACAGAAGACGAAGCAAGGCTCACTGGAAGTCCCAAACCTTTCGCATTTTCCACTTCCCAAAAGTCTTCAAAGTAAGTTCGCTTACCAAGCTTTAAACCGAGAACCGGATCACCAGAGCCAAAAGAAAGTTCAAGACTTGGAGAAGTATCAATTCCCTTTGAAAACTCTTCACTGCTGCCTAATTCTCCAGGAAGACTTTCACCAGCTTCTGATGTAAAATTATGTGTTCTCACTTCAGCTGATGAAGAACTAGTTGACTTTGAGCTTTTAGAGAAAGCATTAGCTAGATCAGAACCTGAACTACCACCATAAGCTACTGCAGCAAAGCTTGAAGAATACAGAGAAGTGCAATCAAACCCATCAATTTCCCACTCCATTGGTTTTAGCTTTCTAGGAATTTCAGGTGATGAAGTACCAAAAGATATCAAATTTTCCAATTCCCATTGAAACGATGGCTTCGCATTACACTCCATCCGACACTGACCACCAAAATCTGAAAGAAACACAAATTTCATAAGAAACAAGAAACTAGCAAATGCACAGAGAAACAACCAAAACGTTATTCTATATAAAAGCAATCAGCCAAATTGTAGAGAAGAGACTTTAACTCTAGATTGTCAAACATATGGAGAACCAAAAATGGCTTCTTGTTAGAAAGCTACTTATGTATAAAAGAACATATATAGATGCTAATGACTAACATAATACTTGGTCTATTTCTTTACTCAACCTTAAACCAGAGCAAGAAGAAACAACAAAAACGACGAAATGGATTTGTCCAAGAAAGATTTCTCAAGGAAAAACCTAAACTGTGATAAGGCATGAATAGGCAAGGAAGGTTAACAGATTGAAGTGCCTAGAGAAAGTTTCATGGCTTCTTTATTATTACAAAATCCTCTGCTTATTCATACCAAATCTACATACTCTTCACCCTAGGATCTCTAATTTGCTCAAATCTCTATACTCTTTTGGAGACAGATTGCTTTCTGATCAATAACCATATGGTTTTAAGGAGAATTACCAAAAACAGATCTATAAAAAGCTCCCTCTCTTTCACTATTCAATAACAGAACCATAGTTTTCTACAAGCAAAGTCAAGGGTAATAAAAAGTACTCACATAAAACTTCAACCTAGGAGAAAATCCTCATTTATCTTCTCTGTTATTTGCAGAGATAAAAGGACAAAATCAACAGATCAAACATACCTAAAACTTATGGATCCCAGAGGAAGAAGAAAATGTTCTGTTTTTTTTTTTTTAAAATACTCTTAGAGTAAGTTTCAATCACAATTTTCATCCACATTTATAACAAGACCAACAAAAAAGATACCCTCTCATCATTCTTTCATCACAAAACTTTCTTTTTGGCTCACCAATAATTCACATTCATTAGAGATTGTGGGGGCAAAAATCCTTCAAGAAAGTAGGACCCTTCCTTCACACCATTTCATTATCAAAAGCTGTTTACAGATGTAAGATTAAACTTCTCTGCTGTCAAAATCATCCCTTTAAACATTCCGTAACATTTCTCTCTACTATACTTTCAAAATCAGTAATTTACAAAAACCCATAAGAGATCATGAACCAAACTCTATAAAGTTTTTATCTTTACACATTTTATTTTGGGTATGAGATCTACAGGACTAATGAAAAAGAGTACCATTGGTTACAACCTTGTAGAGAAAGACTATTAGGGTTTCACTTCTTTACTCATCTTTGATTATGATGTTATTTTTGTATGTAGTGAAAATAAAAATGGAAATAAAGAGAGAGAGAAAAGAGTAAAGTTGCAAAATCTCAGCCGCAAATGGATGTCTCACCATTTATGGTAATATTATCATTCGTTTCACAAACTTTTTTTGTGTGCTAAGTAAAATACCAAAAAATCTCTACTTTAAGCTACAAGATTTGCAAGAACCAAAATCTTTATGGAAATTATTGAATGGGTACCTGTAAATTAGAGAAATAGGGAAGGATCTCGTCGTCAATAGAGTAAAGCTTCCATTTTTGGCTTAGCATAAGAGAGAAGAGCTAGAGAGAGAAAGAGAAGAGCTAGAGAGAGAGTGAGAGCATGTGAAGCTAAGGACCAAGTTGGGAGATGTGGAGGGGTCAAACTACACTTTCATCAGCTTCAACTTTTTTGGACGATTCACATTTCATTATCGAGGAAAAAGCAAAGATTTTATTATTATTTTATAAACACTTTATGTTTTTACCAACAAAAAAATCAAAAACAGAAAAACAACAATTTCATATGAATATTTAGAAAAATTTGCTGAAAAAATACTCTTTCCGTTTTATAATATAAAATATTTCGAAAAAGCTTTTTTGTTTTATATATAAGATGTTTTCAAGTTCTATATATATAAATTATAACTTAATTTAATATTTTATAATTATTTATTATGCAGTTTCGTCGATGATTGGTTGAATTTTTTAAAAGTGGATATTTTTTAATCTGAGTATTTTAAGTTAAAATATCTTATATTTTGAAATAGAAAGAATATATTTTAAAGATATCAAGTTGGTTTAGTCGTTAAATCTTTGGATTATCAAAAACGTATAGATTTTGAAAATTATGAGCTCGATCTGCGTTAAAATAGATAAACTTTTTAAAAAAGAATTAAATTATATGGCCAAAGATCTTAAATTTTTAATTAACAATATGGTTAAATAAAAAAATATATATATATGAATAAAATCTATGACGGATTGGTATAGTGATCAAAATTTAGAATTATCAAAAAAGCATAGAGTTTTTTTTTTATATTACTGATTCGATCTGTGTTAGAAAAGGTTCTACATATTTTAAAGAGTAAATTTGGAAAAATACCCTCTTTTTGTTTACAATTTTAAAAATTACCTTTTTCATCTTTATTTTTAAAAATATTTTTAAATATGTAACCATTAAAATTAATAACGATTAATAATATATATTTCAAATATCAAATCAGTTTATTTGTAGTAATAAATATTTAATTTTTACAAAGTCTTAATATAACTAAAAATTCCAAAAAATTATTATCTTAAATATTCTTTTAAAACAATAATGAATAACAGCATTCTACCGATGTTAAGTTATAATTTTTATTAAGTCATGTGTTATTGTTATGGTGCAGATTTTGATGATTCATTATTATTGAAAACACATAATATAGTTTACTTTGGAAAAAAATTCAAAGAGAATCATTGAATAAAAGCAAAGTTTGGTGATATGTTGTGCTGAAAATGTGCTTGGAATGTTGGAGAGTATTTTATTTTATAAAAAAATAACATATATTAAGGGATAGACTTTATAATAGTTTTAGATAATATCTTTTTCAATTTTTCATATATAAAACTAATAAATGTTAAAAGTATATATATATATATATATATATATAACTATAATTAATATTATTTCAAATTTAGTTAATTTTTTTTGTCTAATTTCAAGTTTAGTTTAGATTTACTAAAATATAGCTCTGAATTTAAATTTAATACAAATTGTCATTTTACATATAAAAGATTGTATTTTTCAATTAAAATAGAAAAGGGGTATATTTCAAAGCAAAACTCAAAAACAGGGTAATTTTCAAAATGATCCTATTTTAAAAATAATCAATTTATATGGTCTCGGAAAGAAGAAAAAAAAAGATGTGGATTTTCGTAGATCAAAGAGCGTCAAAATCAAGACAGGCCATGCTTTCTTATTCTTATATGTACTAATAATATATATAGCATATGCTTTAATTTAATTTAATTTAACACAACAACCTCGTAGCTTAGGAGCAAGTTCATAAATTGATTATACGTACATAAGTTATTTTAAAAATAGTTATCAGAGAAAAGAAAAGTTGGTTGGAGTTATCATTGTGCTGGAAGACAACCGTTCAGCAGTATGGCTCGATTTAATTATAGAAAAATTAGATCCAGTGGCAAATATAAAATTTTAATTTAGAGTGTGGTCATATGTTTTTATATGGGGATCTTCTATATATAATATACACAACTATATATTAAAAAAAAAAGAATTTTGCCAAATGTGCCACATTTTGGGAAAATCCTAGCAAATGTACCACATTTGAAATGGATTTAGCATCCATACCACATTTGGTGTTTGTGTGGCAACTCTTGGACGATTTTGCCCTTCTCTGTGCGTCAGGTATGTGTCAGGGGAAGGAGCTACAGTAGACGCCGGTTGGGAAACGGGGACAACTTTGTGTCAGAGAAGGACAACTTTGTCTGAAAGACAACTTTGTGTCAGAGAAGAAGGACAAAACATTGTTTACATTTACCATGGACAATAATTATGAAATAGAGTGAATGATGTCCCCCAAGAATAAGTCCAGATCTCTTGATTGTCCATCGCCAGATGATGTGGTTTTACCAGCCAGAGATCTGGATTTACTCGGGGACAACTTCTCTTGATTGTCCATCGCCAGATGATGTGGTTTTACCAGCCAGAGATCTGAATTTTCTTGGAGACAACTTGATCTTTATTTTATTCCGCCAAAGAGCCGAAGACGAAGATCTGGATTTACTCGGGGACAACTTTGTTTTACCAGAGGGACGAAAACGGTTACCAATGCGTTAGGAGAGAGACTGTGGACGGCAGAAAATTCGGAGAGTCCCATCAACCGCAGGGTCTTGTCTCAGTAAGTTGGAGGGTAGAATCGTCTTTTCACATGATGAATGTGGTATGGATGCTAAGTGGACTGAGAAAGTGGTACTGGGCCTAAACTTTTTGAAAAAAGTGGTATTGGGGCTAATTTTCCCTTAAAAAAAAAAAAAACACAACTATGATCTATTAATTTTTTTGTATATATATACTTTTTTGTCTCCTCTCTTCCTTCTTTTAAAGAGTAATTACACTGCATATCCTAGGACTGATAACTATTTAAGTCAAAGGATCAGTGGCACGTTCGTAAATAATATGTGTGTTTGGTTTGTCATAAATAATGTGTATGTATCGTTTGATATTTGTTAAAAGGGACAGTTTCTCTTTTGCATTTATTGAAGTCAGTTCCGTTTCTCTTTGTTGGATTTTTGAATTCTCTGTTCTTCTCCCTGTGTCGAAACCGTAACGAAGGCGAGAGAGAGAGAGATCTGAATAGTGAGGGGAGATGGAAAACCTGCCGGAGAGAGTCTTTAAGTCCGGTGAAGAGCCAGACGGCGATAGGGTTCACAAGTACTTCCAACTCCAATACCTAAACGATTTAGCGGAGCATCTAAAGGATGACGAAATTTCGAAGATCAGAGGCTCGCGGCTGGGAAAATTGTTCGATATTGGGAAAAAGTTTTCTTTTTCCAACAAACTTTGTTTGTTTTTGCTTACAAGGCAGTTAGCAATCCAGAAAAAACATGAGATTTGGTTCGTATTCGTGGGTAAGCCGATTACGTTTGGTCTGAGGGAGTTTGCATCAGTGACGGGTTTATGATGCGATCCAATTTCAATTGGAAAGGCCGATGGAGAAAAGAAGGTGAATAAGAACACGATAAAGAAGAAGACAATTGAAGCCCCTTACTGGTTCACTTTGTTCGCGAAGAATGAAGAGGTGACACCGGAGATTTTAATTAAACGGCTTAAAAGCAGCGTTGTCCGTGACCCCGACATCCGATTGAAATATGCTTTATTGGTTCTGATTGATGGTGTTTTGTGCCCTCGATCTTTGAATATGAAGATCCAAGAAGAAACCGCAGAAGTGTTGAGGGACGTTGATAAATTTCTTAATCATCCATGGGGACGGATTTCGTTTGAGATGACTATGTCATTTATCAAGTCCCGGAAAGCTTCTGGGCTTGCGCAAACAAGCTTTGCTGTTTAAGGTTTTGTGCATGCGTTGCAACTGGTTCTTTTAGAGGTTGTCCCTGACATTGAGGAGAGCATGCCGGTTGATACTCCTGTCTTCGTTGGCCATGATTCCGAAGAAGAAGGTGTAGTGGTTGGTGCTGTGGCATTGGCCAAGTTAAAATTGGAGCCAATTTGGGTGATAGACAGCGAAGCAGAGGTTAGTTATTCAGTTCAATGTCAACACATGTGTATTTGTATCGGGGCATTAGTGTTTGTACCATGCTATACTAGTTAATAGAGGTTTTGGTTGTTTGTAGGATTCTGTTGAATCTATTATTCCTCTTGATGAGGCTGTTGCGGGGGACGATTTTTCTTGGTCTGACGAAGTGGAAGATGTGAAAGTTGATAATTTGGTTAGGTTAGTTGAAGAAGGCCACCAATGGTCTGGTGATGAATTTGGAGGTGGTGTGGTCGTGTATGCGCTTCCTATAGAACAAAAGAAAAAGCTGAAGGGAAAAAAGTAGTAAGATCCAGGAAGAGGAAGAAGTCTCCTGTTTGTGGTAGCAGTAGTGATGGTAGCCAGCATGTACCATTTTCTGAATCCCAAATGGAGTAGTTAGCAAAGCAAATTAGTTCGCAAGTTTCTGTAGCTGTTAGTAGCATGGAAGATCGCCTGGTGTCTCGTTTAAAGGGAAAAAGTGCAGCTGGGCTTGTTGGTGGTATGGTTGCTGCTCCTGTTTCCAAGGGTAAAGTCAAACCCCTTAGCCGTGCCAAAAAGGCAGTTGTACCCAAGCGGAAACGGATGTGTGTTGATGAAATGTTGAGGCAGATTAGAGATGATGATGAGACTGAAACGGCTACTGACCCAGTAGGGGATGAGTCTGAAACGGCTGGTGGCAAAGGAGGGAAGGATGTTAGAATGGGTACTCAACAAGGAGAGGCTTCTGTTACTATGGAGGATGTAGAGACTGAAGAAAGAGGTGGCAAAGGAGGGGAGGATGTTAGAACGGCTAGTCAACAAGGAGATGTTGAGGAACTTGTCGATGTACATCCGGATGATACTGTTAAATCTGTGCTTGATTCTCTGAACTTGCCTGGTGAAGCGGAGGTTAGTTATTCACTACAATATCAACACATGTGTATATGTATCAGGGCATTATTGTTCATACCATGATATAGTAGTTAATAGTGTTTTGTTTGTTAGCAAGTCTCTCAGAATTTATCTCCTGATCCTGAGCAGGAGGATGTTGTTGTTCTAAGTGGAGATGATTTTAATGACCAGGAGGCTGCTGCAAAAAGTGGGGATGGTCTTAATGACCAGGATGCTGCTGCCAAAAGTGTGAATGATGACGCTGAATGTCAGGGGAAGGAATCTAGTGAGGGTGGAACTCTTGCTCTCTTTCCGACTGGGGCTTCTGTTGGTTTAGAGGAAAATGTGTCAGGGGAAGGGGATGCTATTAATAAGAAGTGGTTGGAAATTGAGAAGTTTTTAGCGGATGGCGGGTAATGTGTCCATCTATATCTAGTTATGTCTAGGAATTCGTAAACATATATGGTTAGTTTGTTTAATATCTTGACATATTGATGTGGACCTTGTCAGATTTTTTTTTTTTTTGGGAAGCTTATTCCTCCTAGCCAAGGACGTGGAGGAGATTGTTGGACTACAAGTTGTAATGGGACCATGGGTTAGTATCTAAATCTTCCTTTTCTAATAAATATTGTTTCATATCATGTGTAAACCTTGTGCTCTCTTGTTTGTAGATGATGGATGCATTTATCAAGTATTTCCGTGATAAGTGGGATACCTTAGAGGTTGGCTTAAATCAACGTAGGGTGGTTTTTCAGGGGACAAAATTTGCTTCCCTTGTCCCTGGTCATCAAATCAAATTTGAGAAGTCTGTTAAGAAGAAGTATGTATTCGACCAAGATTTGATGTCGTGCTTCCCTCTGAACTTTGATACTCTCTACTTCACATTCAACTTTGACAAACAATACTGGGTAGAGATGTGCCTTGATATCAGGGAAAGATATCTCTATGTGTTTGATTGCAACCAGAAGGTGCGTCGGGACACTAGGCTCCGGAAAGAAATGGAATCTTTGTTAGATATGCTCCCTTTCGTTGTTCGCCAAGTGTCGCCTGAGCTGATGAATTCAGTCCCCACTGACCCGTTCATCCTAAGCAGAGACACACTTCTTCCGACTTGTTTACACCCTTCGAAGAGTGGCCTGATGTCTGTTTTATTCATAGAGAGGCATGCAGTAGGTGGGATTGAGGCATCTAGAGGGGTTAGGCCTGAGGAGTTGGCTGTTGAAGCCAAGAAATTGCTTATTACGATGTATGATGCGTACGTTGAGAAGTGAATTGTTTGTTTATGATTCGTCCTTATTTTTATTGTAGATTCTAATTGTATGTCTTAAGAGTTGTTACTGAATAATTGGTGTTTATTTAATAATTTAGCATGGTACGCGTGATTTTAATGCGGTATTTATATTTGTGCCTAGTTATGATCGTATGTATCTAGATTTGGAAAATGAATCAGACTTCATAATTTCATATCAATTAAAAAACAAAACAATGCATTTGAACTTTGCTTTAAACTTCTCATTTCATTACCTTTCATTACAGAGTTAGACAAAACACAAACAAAACAACAAGACCAAGAACAACTGAAGACAAAACACCAAACACACAACTACACTAGTAACCAAGAACAAGTTTCTGGTTTTTGGTCTTACAGTATGTTATGATCATAATTGCAATGACTGTTATACAAACGCACACCAAACACAATTTGGTCGTAAATTTCCATCTCTGAAATTCCCTTTTGCTCAAAATTCCATCTTCCTTTAATTTGTTGATCAAACTCTTTAACTCTGCAATCTCGAATGCAACCTCAGATTTGGCATTGTTTACCTCGGTATCAATGACGGAAATCTTCGGTATAACATCTACAACCTCCTCGTACACACAATCTTCGACCCATTTAAACAAATGGTCCTGCAATTACATCGAAATTCATTTTCCGAACAAACACAAACACACAAAATCAAATAAACTGACGTCTTAATTGGTTGGACAACGGAAGAAAGGTCTTCCTGGGTTCTTCTTCGTGCTCGATGTATAGATGACGAGTTCTCGCCCGGAGTGACACTTCGTAGGAAACCCACGGTTCACACGGCCTCCATCTTGAACACTCGAACTCCCAGAATTACAACTCATACCTAAAAAAGATGGAGATTTAGAGTTGAAAGGTAGAGAATTGATTTTTAGGGTTTACGTTTTGATTTGGGGATTTCTTAGGATTAGGGATTTGAGAATCGAATTGGAGATTTTAGGGGTTTAGAGTAAATCGAAAACAACGTCGTCTTAGTTATCAATACAATAATAACACCAGGGATCTCTCCTGGGTTGACACATCAGTTTTATCAACTGTTCTCAGCATGACACATCAGTAAAAACAATTGCCCAATCAAATTATAACAAATAATACAGCTCATCACTTTTGTCCACTAAAAATCCTTCTTTGTTCCACATCATTTTCTTATCACCATCATGGGCTTTTAAGATTTATACATGCCCATCTTTGATCTTTTAAAATCTTGGGTTTTCATCTGCAATTCTGCATCCTTACTTTTTTTCTTGATTTCAATTCCTCACAAATTGAAACGAACAAACTAAAATTATTTAATTCACTAGGAGATATTTTGGATATAAGATGAGTTTCTACATTTAATCAGAACGAACAGTTTGCACAAAAAAAAAAAAAATCAGAACGAACGGAGTCTCGACGGTGGCGGAAGATGGCGGAAGATGGCGGAGAAGAAGAAGAAGAAGCTGAGAAGCGGATTCATTGGCAGCGTCAACGTGGTGGAGAATCGCCTCGGGAACGGAGAAGATGAACTCCGAGTAGAGAGATGGATGATTCGAAGAGTTATAGATAGGGAAGTAGAGAGAGAGGAAGTGGTAATGGTGGTGGTGGTGGTGGAAGTAGACGAGTGAGTAGGTCACCGGAAAGAAGATCGGAGATAAACCCTAACCCTAATTTCAGTGGCAATTCTGTGAATTCGAGTAACAATAGATCTCTGAAGTTTGTATCTGTTCCTGCAATATATTAGGCTTTAAGCAACAATGGAGATGGATCTGTGAAACGGATTACTGTGAAAAGAAACGTTAGAAAAGCTTCGTCTCCAAAGTCTCAGTTACCTGCGAGTAGCCTTCGCCATCGAAGCTTAGCCGGAAAAGGGAGCATTCTGCCTATAGGAAGAACCCATTGGTGAGATTGATCCAAACTCTGTGGCGTTTCCCTTATCTCAAGGTGATAAATTAGGTTCTGGTAACACCAATTGCAACAAAAGGATGATTAACAGAGAATGAAAATCCAGGATTGATTAAAGAATCTGGACATTTCTTAGCTCAGGTATTTGAATCTAATTAAGTATTTGGTCTTGTTTGAATTAATTGGAATTAGGATTTAGGAGATTTTAGTGTTAGTGTGTCAGAAGTTGAATCCAATTTAAGTATTTGGTATTGTTGGAGTGAATTGGAATTAGGAGATTTTACTGTTTGTGTATCAGAAGTTGAATCCAATTTGAATATTTGGTATTGTTGGAGTGAATTGGAATTAGGAGATTTTTACTGTTTGTGTATCAGAAGTTGAATCCAGTTTAAGTATTTGGTATTGTTGGAGTGAATGTTTATAATGTTTGTGTGTTTCAGAAGTTGAATCCTGGGATGAATACGAAAACCGTTACTCAAGGGCCAATCCGAAGAACTGCGAGTCCGAGTTGGGCTATCAAAGAGCAACAAGAGGCAGTGGAAGAGAGTAAGATAGTGTTGTCATCTAGAACTGAATTGGCTAAGCCCCAAATTGTGAGTAGGAGTAGATCTTTGAGGAAATCTCGTGATTTCGATTTCAGTCCCGAAGCATTGCTCTCAAACGATATCGACATCAACAATGTTAACAGTAACAATGCAACTGCGGGACCAACATTTCCATCTTACACAGCTTTGCTTTTAGAAGACATTCAGAATTTCCACGAGAAGAGTGTTGATGTTAGTGCCTTAAGTTCATCTATGTCCAAGGCTTGTTCAATTGTTAAAGCAGTTGCTGATCATAACTCCACTACGAATCAACACCAAAGAACCGAGGTCAGTTTCACATCGGCAGCAGCGAAGAAAGAGGATTTAATGGAGCCAAGTTTCGAGAAGTATGTGACTGTTAAGAGAGGAGGTTCTTCGTTGGAGGGTATTCCTCTTAGATCTCGTATGTGGATTAAAGAATTCGCCCATTCTTAGAAGATCATGTGAATGAAAGAATTGTCCATGTGTTCGATGTATTGAAAATCATTGATATTGTTTAATTTGCTTGGTACAAATTCTTGTTTAGCCGTTTGATGTATAAAATCTATTAGACCTTCCAAAAAATTAAAGCTTCTACGGCTTCCAATTTACAAATTATGAAAACTACTATAGTCTATGGTTGAAACCTACACAAACTCAAACAAGCTCAACGTTTTCATACATACTTCATCAAATTCAGCTTGAATCATGAATCCACGTTCAGCTCAAAGCTTCTGTTTTTTTATCCAATAACTAATATGAGATTGCACATACGAAGTTGAGTAAACCCGCGCTAGAACATTCAATACCTACATTGCACTTAACAAACTTACATTTTAAAAAATATCCCGCAGCGTAGCGCGGGTTTCGCCCTAGTTCCCTTTAATGTCTCTTGATATTTGAAATAAGAAGAACACACATTTGTTTATATCATGGCACAACGTTCTATATCGGAGTACAAGTTGAGATAGCGCACATAAAAGTTTAGAAAACCAATACAAGTAGCATTTCTCGCACACATTTGTTTATATCACGGCACAAATTAATATACCGTGGTACATATTAACATAGCGCACATAAAAGTTTAGAAAACCAATACAAGTAGCATTCCTCGCAGCTTGCTTCGATGGTGTGAATTTCAGAACAACCTGGTATTTCTGTGTACCATGAATTGGAGTATGAGCTAAGGTGGAGGCTTCCCATTTGTTTGATTTTCGCAAATATTGAGTCATCCATGGCTATGACGGATCTCCAATCTTCCTTGTATTGTATTGATGCGAATAAATAGGCAACCTCTTGCTCTCCTGAACAAATGGACAAGACTGTCATAAGGAATGTTGATTCCTCAACGTGATTTAGAGCTTTAAAGATGTGTTCCCGGGCTACCATAATATCATTTTCCCCACACGCAATCCGGAGGCCCCCTAAATAGTGTGCTTTTGGTCGTCCTTCGGACAGCGTAACTTCGAACTCGTTGTGGAGGATTCCATCTTTCTTCATCAAGGATGGGTGGTCTAGATATTGCCTCATCATCTTTGTTTAGTTTAAGTATATTTGGATGTTTACTTCTTCGAAATGTACTCATGTATATATTGCAATGGGGTCGTAGTAATATCTCCCCAATAATGCAATGGGGTAGGTAGATAGTAATGCAATGGGGTAGGTAGGAAATAATGGAAAACGTGTTAGGTAGTTTTAAAGTCGGTTGTAACTTATGTCAGATTACACTACTAGTTTGTGATAAAATCGGAGGGATATTGACATAAGTATCCTGATACTTGTCAATGTATCATGGTATAAGAAACAAAGCTTTGATATTTAACCATATATCTAAGGACCTAAATATCTAATGCAATGGGATAGGTAGGAAATGATGGGAAACGTGTTAGGTAGCTTTAATGTCGGTTGTAACTTATGTCATTTCAATATTTGTTTTGTGGTCAAATCGAATTGATAACTAAATAGGTAGCCAGATATGTATTTTGTTATCCCGACACAAAAGAAAAGGCTTTGATATGTAAATATATAGAGGGACATTAATAGGTAAATAGCCGCTAAACCAAGTCATTATAAAAGTTATTTTACATAGGTTCCCTTGCTATAGAGGGGTAGGTCATAATATATTACAAGTACGAATGGGGTTGCAAACCCCAAAAAACAAGAGTCGGTTACATCCTTCTTTACTCACCAAAGTCGTTCAATCACAATCCCAAAAGACGCGTTCTTCATTCGTAATTTAGTTCCCGCTGTGCCGAGCTATGCCAAAATGTGCAAAGTAGACTTGGTTTTTTACTTACATGACCCCTGCATAATGAAAAAAAATAATTTTGGTGACTAAAGTACCGGGGTAACAACATCCATATCCGGATAGAAGGTGTTGAATTTGAATTTTTTTGAATATGTTGAGGGGTATGTGGGACTTTCTATATGGGCATGCAGCAAGTGGCCCTATTGTGCCCCTTAGCCTTGCATCTTGAGCAAACATTCTGTCCTCGCAACCCTTTCTTCTGCACAATATAGATGGATACACAAGTATATACTGTGATATATCTAGATGCATCCGATACATTGTTGTATAGCTGAATGTTGCGAGAGAGGTGTTTCTTACCTGAAACTCTCCGCGTGAGAAGAAGCGTTTTTTCTTTGGCCTCCTTGGTGCGCGCTTCGTGTGGGGTGGCAGAAAGTTCATTGAAGCAATATCTTCTGGGAGTCCGTAAAGACTAGAGAGCGCCGGAAGAGGATTGATGGAATCCTTGTAAGTCATCACCCAATAACATGATGTATAGTGTACATCAACGAGAGAATGCATCGGAACCTGATCAACGATAGCAGCATCAATGGCATGGGGACAAGGGATTTTGAGCAAATTGAATTCCTTGCAAGTGCATGATCTCACAGCTAGCTGGACATGGTATCCCCCTTTGGCCCTCCGATAACATCATGTTCCCCCGTGTTAACCTTCCTCATAGCGAATCCTCCTTATTTATTAAAGTTCTCTTGTAAGATTTCTCTTACCTTTGGTGTCAGCATAGTGTTCTCCTGTTTTGCAGTCTCTCGACGTATTGCGAACCAAGACATGAGAGTTTTACGCACAAACTCAACGATGTAGACAATTGGAAACTCTCTAGCTTCTTTGAGAACGGCATTGAGAAACTCAACCACATTACTTGTCATCACATTATAGCGTTCTCCAACGAAGTAGGATCTTGCCCAGTGGTCAAACCCGATTGACTTGAGATATGCTCCGTATTCAGGGGATACCCGGCAAATCTCCCCAAACACTAGGTGGAAGTTCGCGATACGGTATGCCCGTGCGGCCCTCGACACCAAGAAAGAAAGAGTCTTCGCCTTGAAAATGCTTGAGATATTACGTTGCAAGTGGACTACGCATGCCGCGTGTGCTGCATTTGGGAAAACCTAGGACATAAACAAAGGATAATAGCCGTGTTAGCATGGTATACAGAGTTATAGCTTGCTATTTACACATATATCGTGATATACATAGAAATATCGTATACCTTCTGGAGAGACGAGTAGATGGAAGAATGCCTGTCTGAGACGAAAGTAATAGTTGGATCATTGGGTAATATTTGCCTTAACATTGTCAGGAACCACTCCCAAGCCCTATCGTTTTCACTGTCGACGATTCCAAAAGCCACCGGGAAAATTTGAAAGTTTCCATCTTGGGCGCTCGCTGTGATCACGCAACCACCGTAATTTCCTCTCAGATGCGCACCGTCTATGACTATTACCTGGTTAGACACATTTTTTGCGGTGTCAAGCAAAGATAAACTTCAGATATTCGACACTATGACGTGACATAAACAAACATGGCAGGGTATATGTTTCTTTGATTATTACCTTGCGCATGAACTTGAGGCCATTTATCGAGGCAGCTAGGGCGAAGAAGAGGTACTCAAACCTTTGGTTTTCCAACTCGTTTACAGTTGTTTCCAGTCCAGTTAATGACAATTAAAACATAAGAAAACACAACAAGAGTACAAATAAAATAAGATAAAAATAAACAACAAGAGCTAAAAAGACAGACAATTTAAAAACCACATGTTCTGCAAAACATTATGATTAAAGAGAAAAAACGAGTTAACTTAGCTATCTTTTCCGGAATGAAATTTCTGAAGCACAACAAGTCACGAATAGAAATAGCTAACTGAGAATCCCTCCTAGAAAGGGATGGGTCGTTCTCGACCGACGAAGTTGAAAAATTGATTGATAATTAAATATGCAACCCTAACTCCAAGGACCACACTAAACCAAATTATCATGTATGTCGTGTATTTTTTGTCTTAAAAACTTGCACTCATTAAAACTAATGCAGCAAATCCTAGGGCCATGATTAGTTCGTCATATACCAAACGAATAAAACACCAAAGCTTAGTTGCTCTAGGAAATGCATAGTACATGAAAAGCCCCGCTAGGTAAGGGACATCAACTAACTTGTAGAGATGGAGCGCATCTTTGTAGCGTTTAATATCTCGCTTTGGGACATTAGAACTAGCGCAGTTTCTTTAGCTATTCCCGCCGATAAAAACACTCCAGCAATAGAAGTAACGGAAATGAGTGTCGCATGCACGGTGAGTGAATACTTAGTTCTACGTAGAGATAAAGAAAGAAAAATGTTAGTTTTGTATACACTATCAAAGCAAAGTCAAACAAATATTTTACTTAGTTATACGTTATGGGAAGTTTAGCGGCTGTGAGAGTAGGAGGAGGAGAACTCTCTTCAATAGGAGGAATAAAAATCTGACGAGCAACAGCACGGGAAGCATGAACAGCACCCGACAGAGGAACAGCTAAGTTCATGCGCAAGGTAATAATCAAATAAACATATACCATGCCATGTTTGTTTATGTCACATCACAGTTAAACCTTTGGGTTGGCAGCTTTAAGAGCATGCAAGTAAGTTGGTAGAAGAGAGTAGATATTGCCCACTGAACCTCTTGCCCCGTCCATAGCAATCCCCCTAGCTCTCCAAGCTTTCCAATATAAGATTGGGACGCGATTGGGATGCGGTGGTCCGCTTCCAGCACCCATGTATTGCGGCCTCATGAACTCACCTACAACTCTGGCGGAAGCTTGTTTGTGGTAGTTACTGCGGGCTTCAACGCTGCAAGTGTGTTCCAGACAAGTACTACAGACTTGGTAGTTGTCCGAGTGTTCAAGTCGGACAACGTACACCCGCCAGGGACAGCTGTCGGCAACACAGTTGAGGAGGACCACTTTCTTATCTGAGCGGGTGTGACGAAAATGGAACTTCCTTTGAAGTGCATGGATGGCCATTTAAACTTGAAGTCCTCCATGTTTTTATAAACCCGACCCACGAATATGTCATCTCCCTCGTACGTTGCATCGTCTATAGCTTGGTTGACCACTGTGTTTTCTTGTAAGACATGTGCATTTTCATCAAGTTCAGAAAAAAATACAGATATAACATCTTATGACGTGACATATCGAGGAGTTATTACTATTTATAGCAAGATATATGTGTATATAACCAAATATAAATAACGATAACAAGATATACATTTATATAAATAACTATATTTTTAGATAGCAGGATATTACGATACTAAAATAGCAGGACATACGTATATATAACCAAGTCATTACCTCCATCTATGTTGCTGTCCAGGACCGGAGCTTCGTCCCTGCCAAATACCCCCATCGATAAGTCTACGCCAAAGAAAGTGTTCTCTTCGTTGGCGTAGGTAGGAACTATTGAGCTGGAACCAACCTCTAGGTTGTAGATTTTTTTACTCATCAAACCATCAAGCCTCTCGTTCCACGGGATGGGTCGTTCTCGACCGACGAAGTTGAAAAATTGATTGATAATTAAATATGCAACCCTAACTCCAAGGACCACACTAAACCAAATTATCATGTATGTCGTGTATTTTTTGTCTGAAAAACTTGCACTCATTAAAACTAATGCAGCAAATCCTAGGGCCATGATTAGTTCGTCATATACCAAACGAATAAAACACAAAGCTTAGTTGCTCTAGGAAATACATAGTACATGAAAAACCCCGCTAGGTAAGGGACATCAACTAACTTGTAGAGATGGAGCGCATCTTTGTAGCGTTTAATATCTCGCTTTGGGACATTAGAACCAGCAGCAGTTGCTTTAGCTATTCCCGCCGATAAAAACACTCCAGCAATAGAAGTAACGGAAATGAGTGTCGCATGCACGGTGAGTGAATACTTAGTTCTACGTAGAGATTAAGAAAGAAAAATGTTAGTTTTGTATACACTATCAAAGCAAAGTCAAACAAATATTTTACTTAGTTATACGTTATGGGAAGTTTAGCGGCTGTGAGAGTAGGAGGAGGAGAACTCTCTTCAATAGGAGGAATAAAAATCTGACGAGCAACAGCACGGGAAGCATGAACAGCACCCGACAAAGGAACAGCTAAGTTCATGCGCAAGGTAATAATCAAAGAAACATATACCCTGCCATGTTTGTTTATGTCACGTCACAGTTAAACCTTTGGGTTGGCAGCTTTAAGAGCATGCAAGTAAGTTGGTAGAAGAGAGTAGATATTGCCCACTGAACCTCTTGCTCCGTCCATAGCAATCCCCCTAGCTCTCCAAGCTTTCCAATATAAGATTGGGACGCGATTGGGATGCGGTGGTCCGCTTCCAGCACCCATGTATTGCGGCCTCATGAACTCACCTACAACTCTGGCGGAAGCTTGTTTGTGGTAGTTACTGCGGGCTTCAACGCTGCAAGTGTGTTCCAGACAAGTACTACAGACTTGGTAGTTGTCCGAGTGTTCAAGTCGGACAACGTACACCCGCCAGGGACAGCTGTCGGCAACACAGTTGAGGAGGACCACTTTCTTATCTGAGCGGGTGTGACGAAAATGGAACTTCCTTTGAAGTGCATGGATGGCCATTTAAACTTGAAGTCCTCCATGTTTTTATAAACCCGACCCACGAATATGTCATCTCCCTCGTACGTTGCATCGTCTATAGCTTGGTTGACCACTGTGTTTTCTTGTAAGACATGTGCATTTTCATCAAGTTCAGAAAAAAATACAGATATAACATCTTATGACGTGACATATCGAGGAGTTATTACTATTTATAGCAAGATATATGTGTATATAACCAAATATAAATAACGATAACAAGATATACATTTATATAAATAACTATATTTTTAGATAGCAGGATATTACGATACTAAAATAGCAGGACATACGTATATATAACCAAGTCATTACCTCCATCTATGTTGCTGTCCAGGACCGGAGCTTCGTCCCTGCCAAATACCCCCATCGATAAGTCTACGCCAAAGAAAGTGTTCTCTTCGTTGGCGTAGGTAGGAACTATTGAGCTGGAACCAACCTCTAGGTTGGAGATTTTCTTACTCATCAAACCATCAAGCCTCTCGTTCCACGGGTCGGGTCTGCTGCTATGACCAGAGTCAACATCCGAGTCTGAAGATGCAAGGTCAACAATGACGTAATCTTCGTGTATCAATGTTGCTGATTGGGGCTGGGATGACGAACCCGCATTGTTGGAGAGCGTAGGTGATTCCGTTACAACCCCGGCGTCGTTCTTTGTGGTTACGAACAGAATGAGGTCAGCGACATCGACTTTCATGGACAGGAAGAGGTCCATATCGTTGTCCGTCTTGATGGACTGAGGTCTAGTCGTCCCGTCATCTACCAGAAGCATCCACAATGGCCAACGGAAAGTCAGCTTTAGGCAGGTCTCCACGTCGCTGATGTTGTACTCATGTTTTAGCATAGTGGTGATCGTATCTATGCCATCACCTTCACGGAGCCTCATGATGCGTTGTCTCTCATTCGGATCTTCCTCGAACCTCCATTTCTCGATAGCATCACATTCCCAGTGGCCAATCTGCACCGCCACAACTCGCTGTTCTAACTCCCGTATCAGAACCATATTACCTGCAAAATTTGAATAACAGCTTTTGTAAGTTATAAATGTTATTCATAGCAATAAATGAGAAATCAGACATAAGTAACGGTTTATAGTTAATCTTACCAAACCGAAGAGTAAATGAAGAGCTCTGTTTTTTTCTGGGCCAAATCGAAGAGTTAATGCAGAAGAGGAATGAGTTTTTTTCTGGTTTAGTGCGATATGGTAATGACGGTGGTGGCTACTTCTTTATATAGAAGGTCAATTCCCAAGTTGTGTATCTCGTAAGATATCAAGATAATGCCTCAAGTAGCAAGGGGTCATCATTACATGTCATTAAATGCTTTACACTGTATGTGTCTTTAGACATTGTGCAGAGCAACGCACGAAGCTCGATGGCTGTTTTTCGTGCTACAGTATGTAAACGTATAACGTGATACGAAGATATATATCAGGACACGAAAGCATATATATATAAGCGAAAAGGGAAAGATATCGTGATAAGATATCTCGTAGCTGTGATTTCTTGTCTTGCCATAATTAGTTTTGCATTTAATGCTACTATTGTAGCAACTTGGGACAGAGCGAATTGCCAAGCTCGATACGTATGTAGGGTCCGCCGCGATTTGCGTGTATCGGATAAACACATATATATCATGATACGTATCTCTGTTGCAACACACCATAAGTGGAGGCCCACAGAATATCGCTGTCCCCTACGAAATTCTCGGAGGGAAAATTCCCGCAATTTATTTCAGGGGCAATTTCGTCCGATTTTTTCGAACTCAAAGTTTTCTCTCTCTTGTTTTGTAAAGAATAAAAAATGTATACCAACTTGCAAATTATTTCTCGAATAATTAGCATACAGCTAATTGGCTCTCTTTTAAACAAGTAGTACATTTTTTTTGCCTTTGATTTCTAAAGAAAATCAAATGCTATTTTTTTCAAATTTTTTGAGGTTCTAGTTTTGAAGAACAAAAAATATTCGAAAGGGGATTTAGAGTTCATTTTTCAAAAAAATATTTTTTGCACTTTTACTAAAGTTTATGATTTCGGATTTAGAGTTTAGTTTTGGAGATTCAGAGTTCATATTTAGGGTTGATGTTAAGAATTTTGGGTTTAAGTTTAAACTATTTTCTTAGTTTTAAAAAAGTATAACACATCAAATGTAATTTTATTTATTTTTACATGTTATTCTGTTTTAAAACACACAACAAAATCGGAGATTAATAGTGGACTAGTTTTAGGATTATTTTAATATTTTTAAAAGACTTTAGTCCAATATAATTAAATTTTTAAATAATATTGTTTATAAATTGTAGTAAACACATAAAAATATATTTTTAAGAAAATTTTATGATTTTTGTTAAAATTTTGAACATAATTTATTGTAAAGCATTACAAACTCTCAATATAAATGTCCGAATAACAAAAAGAAAAGTTGTTTTGTACTTGTAATATAAAAATAATCGGATTATGCAAGATTAGGCAGAAAATAATCGGATTAGACAAGAAGTTATCAGATTAGGTGGGGAGTAATCGGGTGACTGCTTTATTAAGGGATTAATCATTAATCGAGGCGGATAGGATGAATCTAGCGATTAAGCGGGGAGTAATCAGAAATATGTAGAGATTTTTAGAACATGGATATATACTACTTCTTCCGTTCTTTTATAGATAATGTTTTATAAGAATACACATAAATTAAGAAATCATTTAATTTTTGTTTATTTATAAACAAAAATATTAATTATTATCTAATCAACCAATAAAAACATAATCCCCAAAATATAAATCATCAAATCTAATAAAAATTAATTAATATTGCATTGAAAACTGAAAATATCATATATTTTAGGAAAAAAAATATAAACTTAAAACATCATTGATAAAATAACGGAGGAATTCCAGAGCGACAAGGAAGAATTCTCATCATTCTCTTTATCTTTAATTTCACGTAATGCTAATGTAAAAGCGGATAATCTGATACGAAAAAATCGTACAGAATCGTTTTATTTCACATATGTAAACAACAAACCCCAAGAATGGCTCTATTGAGCTCTTTTTAATTTCAGATTTCGGATGACCAAAAAAAAAGAAAAAGGAGGGAGTATATAACTAAACCGGTCGGCTTCGTTTCGATTTTGAATAAAAATCCCTAGTCTCTCTCAATTGGCGAGCTTCAGTACTTTCTTCTTCTACTTGTTTGAGTGTTGAAATGCGATTTAGCACCGGAAAATCAAAACCCTGAAGGATTTCACAGACAATGGAACAACGGTAAGTTTCTTTGTTTAGAGCATTTGAAATCCGATATATAGCACTCTAATTCTTTGATTTTGGATTTTTGGTGGTCAAATTGTTTTTGAGAAATCGAGGTTTTATGAATAAGGATAGGATGAATCTGTTGCCTGAAGCTTTGATTCTGTCTTTTCTTCCAACAAATCGTTCTATATACAAACTCTAAACCCTAATTCTTACTCTTGTTTTCTTTTCGTTTTGTTAGTGAAAGTTTGAGAATTCGAGTTTTTATGGGTAGAGACAGGATCAGTGAGTTGCCTGATGCTTTGCTTCTAAAGATACTGTCTTTTCTTCCAACAAACATTGTCGTAGCCACGAGTGTTTTGTCTAAACAATGGCGGTCTCTTTGGAAGTTGGTCCCAAATCTCGAGTTCGATTGTGAGGATTACGAAAGTGAACAATATACATTTTCAGAGATTGTTTGCAAGCCTTTCACATAAAGCTCCGGTTCTAGAGAGTTTCCGTCTCCAATTTGGATCAGAAAAACTTAATCTTGTAGATATTGGACTTTGGGTTGGAATTGCGTTTTCTCGACATCTGCGTGAATTGGTGCTCGATTTTTATCCTGCTGAGCTCGGGACGGGGATGACCTTCACATTTCCGAGTAGCTTGTGTACTTGTAACACACTTGAGACTTTGAAACTCGTACTACGTTTTTCTTGTAGATATGCCTTCTCCGGTTGTTATGAAGTCTCTTAGAACTCTGCACCTTGAGTTTGTGAGCTACAAAGACGAGTCATCTATCCGTAATCTTTTATCTGGCTGCCCTGGTCTTGAAGAATTGCGTTTGTACCGAGGTGATGATTCTGATATTGAGGTTTTCACTATTGAGGTCCCTTCTTTGCAGAGATTAACGGTTCATGATAACAATGATGGACCAGAGTTTTGGGGATATTTGATAAATGCTCCTTCTTTGAAATACTTACTAATTGAAGAGTTAAGATGTCCCGAGTTTTGTCTGAATGCGCCGGAGCTGATGGAGGCAAATATCGCTCATGTTACATCTATAACCAATGACAAGTTTCTTGGATCTCTCACTTCCGTCAAACGTCTATTATTGAATTTATCACCCTTGAAGGTAATTTTTCGGGGTTATTTTATTCGTCAATTGAGTTCTTTGTTCATTGTTTCTATACACTAATAATTGGTCTCATGTATAGATTACATATCCTACTGAAAGCATCTTCTATCAGCTGGTATCTCTAGAGATGTATACACGTGAAGCAAAGTGGTGGAATCTACTTACGCTCATGCTCGAAAATTCTCCTAAACTACAAGTCCTCAAGCTCACTGATGTAAGACATTTCATTATTAGTCAGCTAGATATTTTTGTGTGATCTCTCTTTGGGTTATATTATATGATCTAGTAATGCTATACACTAAATACCCCCTTGTCTCTTTGGTCTCAGCATTGTCTGAATTTTCATAAAAATGGTTTGGTCGGCGGCAAATGGAATGAGCCAAAGTATGTCCCTGAATGTTTGTTGTCACATTTAGAGACATTTGTGTGGAAAAGATTCGATTGGGGAAGAGAAGAAGAGAAAGAAATAGCTACATACATTCTAAAGAACGCAAGACGATTGAAGAAAGCAACTTTCTCGACAAATCCCATTGATTCGGAAGAGCTCAATAAGTTGAAAGAGAGACGTAAGGTGCTCAATGAATTGGATGGTGTGGTCAGGGCTTCAAATTCATGCCACCTTGTATTTAAATTCGATGCATCGTATGATGTATCAGACTCTTCGTAGCACATAGAGCCTTTTAATTTAACCGGTAAGATCAGTTTTGGGTTCTTGGGTATGCGTTGGGAACATTAATATTGCAATATTCGGGCAATTAATGAAAATTGCATTGTTCTCTTATCACAGCCTCAAAACGCATCAGGGGTGCCAGGTGTACGTACATTTTGGCTTTGGAAAAGCCTAGCTATTGGAGAAGACCGAAGAGAAAACTCACAACCTGATGTGTACTGGTAACGAACTCTAGGGGTCGAAACTTCAGAGAAGGCATCAAGGCAGTCACTATGTCCAAATCTAAAGCTCACAACCTGTTGCGGCTCCTTAGTCCTGGTGCATTAGTTGGTATCATGATTGCTCTTCTTGTTATAAGGAGGCTGTCCAGAGATTGATCTAAGCATCTCTTTTGTTCTATGTTACAAAACATATGATCATGGTTTTTTGTTTAGCTATATCTTGAATCTTTATGCTCTTTTGGATGTTACACACTTGAGAAATTTCATGCAGTTTGTTATCCATTTCCCGTATAAGCTTCTATATATTTATTGCTCCTTCTTTGCAAATTTAAACCTAATGTTTCATATACAATTAGTAATAAAATCTGGCCTTGTGTAATCCTGAGAACAAATGGGTAGTTTAATTTCGTTGCAACTGTAATTGATTCACACGTTAGCTTCTTCTACTTGGAGCTTGTTTTTCTAGTTTAAGCCTCTCCTTTTTGTGTGAAGTGAAATAAACCTTACACAAAGAGTACTGTTAACACTATGCCGTGAGGAGCACGGCATGAAGGTGTCTATGTTCTCTATAAACAGTTGCCTGAAGATACAATTATGATATTCTCTCTCTGCCGGACCTTGAGCATCTTGAACCACATGGATTGACCAGGATGAGCCTATGGATGAAACAAGTTCAGATTCTGATTCTAATCAGTTATCTAGGCAAATAGCACATAGAGCCTTTTGATTTAACCGGTAAGAGTGATTTATCTATCTATCGTTATGATTAGGGGTGGGCATTTAAACCGAACCGAACCGAACCGACCCAACCCAACCGAACTCAAACCGACCTAAACCGAACCCAAGCTTAGACTCAAACCATTCGGTTGGGTTTATTCTCAACCCAAATGGGTCGGTTCGGTTCGGTTTTAAACCGAACCGAACCGATAACCCAATGTGTTTATTTGATTAATTAGTCAATTTTATTAATAATATTATAAATAACTAAATATGTGTTTATTTTTACTTTTATAATAATTTGAATAAATGTAAAATATATTTAATTATCTCTAAAACTCTAACTCTAAAAAATTTAGGGTTCTCCTTCTAACTTATAAAGAGTAAAACTCAAAAAGACTTTCATATTTCATTCTTGATGACATTGCGTGAAGGAATTATGGAAGACTAGATGAATACCCACGCTACGCGTGGGTTTGTTTTAAAAATTGTTAATAACAAATTATTTTGATTGTTCTTGTTGCTAGTTAATCACCCACTTTACGCCGCGGTTTTTTCCGGTTTTTTTTTTTTATTTTGATTTATTTGATGTTATATTATGATAAATGTAATTTTTAATTATCTAATCATTTACTCATACAATGAACAACTACTCTTAGTATTAAAATACATTTTCAACCAACATATTCAACAATGCATCACTCACACAATCCGTAAACAATCTTTCCTAAACCAATTTTATAGATGGTAATGTTGGGATTATAGAACCTCCAAAATTTGATGACCTTACGTACTCTTCACCCTCAGTGTCATATATAGATCAAAAAATTAAGAGAAAAACTTACTCAAACCATTAGCTAATCCACTATACTATTATCCACTTATATTTTGAGTTAAGATTACAAAAATTAGCGAAAAAAACTTTGGAGTATATAAAACCAATAAAATAATTTCATGGAAAAAAACATAAAATAACAAAATAAGTTAGTATTAGTAAAAATCAATATGTAAAATTAAATAAAATATATAATTAAATAATAAATATATTATTAACTTGTGAAATAGATTTTTAAATTCATATGGGCCATCCCTCATGGGCTATTGTGTTTTCCCCATTTGACATTTATAATTAGAAGCTGATGTGTAAAAAATAAAAGCTGACTCATATTAATGAAATGTTTTGATTGGATGGAAAGAAAGCTGATGTGGCATCTCCAGAAGAGCCTAAAATGCTGACGTGGCGACCATATGGAGAGAGATAGCCTCCTTTCATATATATGATTAGTATGTTACGTTGTTGGATTTCATTTTCCTTTTCTTCTAATTACCATGGTTGGGTTTTTTTAGGTTTTTTTTTTCATGGTTAATTTGAATTATTCAATTTAAACTTACAACTTGAACTTGATATTTAATTACTTTATCAATTTCAATGTTCAAACTTCAAAGACAATGAAATTTTTTGTTTTGTTACATTTACTGATTTTTTGAACCAAACTCAAACCGAACCCAAGTAAAACCGAACCGAACCAAACATAAACTGACCCAAACACAAACCGAGCCAAACTAACTTCGGTTGAGTTTGGTTAGAGTTTTACGAAACCCAAATAAACCGAACCGAACCGAACCCAAACCGAACCCGAAGTTAAACCGAAATGCCCACCCCTAGTTATGATACAATCATGGGTTTTTATGATTTTGGATACTTCATATAAGATATTAATATGAATGAAAAAAAGTCAATTGTGAAGATCAAGAGGTTATTTTTTTTCTTTTTCTGTTGTTCCATACAATGTTCTGTCTTAGGAGTAGAACATTTTTGAACCAGACGAAAAAATGAAAATTGGCCTCTTACTAAACTGGTCGGTAACATATTTTTGAGCTGATTAATTGGATTGGGTATGGTTTGATAGAAAACAAAACCAATCGGTTCAGCCCAAACCATGATCATAACCCTAGTTTTTTCAATATATCTCGTTTGCGTTTGTTATACGATAGCAGTGGAAACTTGGGAAAGCACAAAACAATTCTAGTCTCTGTTAACGACGATGGAACAAGGGTTTGTTTCTTTGTTTCGTTTGTGTCTTTTCTCTGCGTCCTTTATGAATTGTTGTTAAACCGTAAGCTCCAAATTAATTAACCCTAACTTTTAATCTTTTCTTCTTTGAATTTTTTGGTGAAAGTTTGAAACAGCGAGATGTTGTGAGGGAGGACAAGATCAGTGAGTTGCCTGAAGCTTTGATTCTGGAGATATTGTCTTTACTTCCAACAAAAGATGTCATAGCCACGAGTGTTTTGTCTAAAC